ACGGGCAATGGCTGCAGGGCCCTCACCCCCCCTCAGGCTCAATCGCAGCACCCACAACACCGACACGCACCCACCCTCCCAGCCACCGCCGCCTCGAGCGCCCACATCCTACCTGCCCACCATGTCCGCAGCCAGCAGCTCCCCCGGGAACCCTCTCACAGCCCCTCTAAAGGCTCCCCAGCCTGCACCCACACAGCCACGCAGCCCCAGCCCAGGTGCAGCAGGTTTTGGGTAATTGCCCTTATTTGCCACACCTGGTGGGGTTTTGAGTGAAGGGTTCACCTGTGTGATTGGTGGGAAATAAACTTCAAATGCGAAAGGAACATGAAAGTCAATTTGTCCTATGGGCAGGAAGCTCCAGTGCTGCCATGGTCCCTGGGGACAGACACTGCTAAGAGCCCCAGAAAGGAGCTGGACGACATTGTTCATAACCACAGACCTCAAGGAGTGGCTGGGACATCCTTTCCAACATTGCTAATCCAACATTGTTATTCCAGCAATCATGGTTACCTGCATGGTGGGGCCGAGAGGGGCCCATCTTGCTGCCCGCTGGTGCTGCTCCTCCCTGGGGAGGAGGGAGGCTGGCTGGGGCCACCTGACATGTTAGGGTCACCGTTAGGGACACCGTTAGGGCCGTTGTTAGGGACATTGTTAGGGCCTGGTGGAATGGCATAACTCTGGCAGAGCGTGCAGCCTGCACAGCAGCTCCAACTCCAGGATACCCCAGTGGCACATGGCAACAGCATCCAACACACCAGCAGTTTATTCATCTCTAGGTTTCTTGATCTTTGCCACATGACAGGAAACTACAGCTGCAAAGACAGGTAGAGAGAGAGGTTTCAGACAGGTTTCAGAGAGCTTGGATTCTTGATAACCTCTAGATCATCAATGACAGTATTCACCCAAGAGAAGGATAAAAATCTGCTAAAAACTGTGTCCCACCCATGCCCCTGGCCTGTTGAGCTGTGATGAGGAGATGGGGAAGGCTGTTTGCCCCTCAGCCACCCTGGGAAGGTCTCTGGGGCATTGGAGTGGGGCATGGAGCAGAGGCGCTCTGGCTGGGCAGCCCAGCCAGGTTGAAACATGAATCCTCATTGCTCAGTATTTCATAACTCAGGCGGCTGCAGCCACACCCAGCGCCAAATGTAGGGAAGTTTGAGAACTCCAGTGTTAGATAACTTCACATGTCTGGGGCTGATGGCACAGGATCTGCTAGGAGCTCTAGGGATGTCTGCTTTACTGTTACAGAACGTCTGGAAGCTCCAGCTGAGTTAGGAGATGCAGTCCTGAGTTGGGTCATGGGTCCCTGTGTGATGCACAAGTGAGAGAAAGACCCAAATAGTTCCAGACCAAAGAGCACTGTGACTAAGGCAGGGACCTTACTTGTGGAGCAAAGTGCTTAAGTTTAGACCTGGAAACACTTGCCAGCAGTGAGTCAGACTCATGGGTGTCCATGGCACAGCATGCACCCTCAGGACAAAGAGATGTGAAATACTCCCATCAGGCTCCTGAAGCAGCAAGGGCATCCCTGCACTGGGGAGCAGGAGTCAGGAACTGCCTCTGGGTGCTCCCTGACTGGATGCATGAAGTGATTTCTCCTCACTTAACTCAATAGGTGACCTCCAGTAGTCCCTCCAGCCAGGCTGTCCAGTCCCTACCCTGACAGCCAGACTGCTGCCAGCACTGGGCCCTGCAGTGGGAACTGACAACTGTGTAGTCACACAGAAGACAACTGCAATAAAGGGATATAAAACTGCACACCAGGAATCAGGGCTGCATTCCCCATGAACAAAGAAGGAGGAGCAGCGTCTGTCATGCAAAGGGACAACAGGCTTTACTGGTGAAAATACCTGCAAGTGTACAATTTTTTGGTAATATTTAAGTGATTTGAGGACAGAAAAAAAGGTTTGATGGAGAGTGGTGTATGGGTCACATTGGTGTCAGAAATGCTGAGCCTAAAGAGCACAGTGTCTGAAGATTTCACCATCAGGAAAGTAACTGTGAAAAGTACTAAATAATAAAGTACTATTGGGGGTTGCCCAGTAACTGAGAGTGCAATAGTCTAATGCTTTTTCTGTGAGCTTGTACTTGGGTAAATATTTAGGCTTTTAAAGCTTCAAATGACAGGAGCCATTGCATAGGGCATTGCACTGTGCAAAGCCCTGGACTATGTTTACTCACAGATGGGCTATTACTTGTAAGGTCCTGTAGAGGCTTTTCTGTTCATACAATCCTTGTGCAGGCTGCAGACAAGGGTGGTCTTTGGGTTCAGTGGTGACCCAGTCTCTCCTTGGACCAAATTTGCAAAGATTGGCTTCCAAAAAGCCCTTGACAACCCCAGCTCTTGGTCAAGAGGTGCGAGACTCTGTTACCTCAAACAGGCCTGGACTGCCGTATTTCATTGCAGCCAGAAGGTTTTGGTCATGTTTGGGTTTTCTTTTGTAAGACACAAATTATATTCTTACTGAAACAAGCTGGTAAGGCTTCAAAGCAAGGGAGGGAATGAAAAAAGGAAAAAAAAAAAGAAAGGAAATATTGCCTAGCAATGAGAAACAGCCTGAGGCTGAGTTAAGAGCACTTACTGTGAGTGAGTGGATATCAGTGCCTTCTGTTGACAGAGGCAGCACTAAGAGGGCATCCTGTCTGGCTTCACAGCCTCTGATTGCCCAGCAAGCAGCAATCTCAAATAAATATTTCCATCTCCTAGGCAAGAAGATTGCCCCCTTGCCTGTGTGGCAACAGCTCCATCCCTGCACAGGCCAAGGCTGGCTGGGGCTGCCTCAGAGCACCCACACAGCCTGCACAGAACCTGCACACAGCCTGCACACAAACTGCACACAGCCTGCACACAGCCTGCACAGAACTTGCACACAGCCTGCACACAAACTGCACAGAACCTGCACACAGCCTGCACACAAACTGCACACAGCCTGCACAGAACCTGCACACAAACTGCACACAGCCTGCACAGAACCTGCACACAGCCTGCACACAACCTGCACATAACCTGCACACAGCCTGCAGCTCAGGCGTGGCTGAAGCGAGAACAGAGCACCCTCAGGGACCTCTGGCACGAGTGAGCACTGGGGTAAGGACGATGCCAGCTTTGTCCCCAGGAGATTTAACTGGAGATGTGTTGTGGTGATGGAAACAAGACATTTAGATGGGCACCAGACTGTAGAACAGAGTAGGGGGTGGACACCATGACTCCGTTCACCACAGGGCTCCTCTGCAGTGGGGGCTGTTGGTTTCCATCCTCCTGCCACACTGCAGAAGTGTTCAGTACTCTCCCCCTCACAGTGACCTCACAGGCTCTGGATCAGAGAGCAAAAGGGATTAGCAAGACACTGTGCGATCCTTCACTGGAAACCCAGCAAAATAATGAGATTAAACAAGAAGATGGTCTGAGTAGGGGAGATCTTTATTTATCTTAATCTAAAAATGCAGAGGGTGGGAACAAACAAACAACTCACAAGAAATAAAACCCCAGTGTAATTTTTGATTATTGGAAGAAGACTCAGTTTCATCACATGGCTGTTCTGGTGTCCTAATTATGAACAGTTTCACTGGCTTTGTAAATACACTCAGCAAATGTGGCAATAATCACTGAGCTGTTGTAAGAGCAGGGCAACAGCATTGCTGGAACCTTTTCAGCCACGTTGACAATTGTGAGCAGATGTGCTAAGAGATGTATTTTTTTCTATGTAATGGATGAGAAGGACCTTCTACCTTAAAAACTTGTATTTGAAGTGAACAAAATTATCCAGATATCAAACAGCTTTCATTTTTCTACACAAAGAAGTAGGTAATAGCAGGCCAAAGAGAGATTTATACAAGCAGTACTGTTGACTTGAATTAGCATCATTTTTTAAATCCAGATTTTTTCCCAAAGCCAGACATTGCTTCTGCAGCCTGTCCAGCCACTTTTTCTACTCCATCTTGTGCTGTCTTGGAAGCCTTGTCAAAAGCTGCAAGAGAGGGAAAAAGATAAGCAGAAAGTTGGAAAAATGCAACATGGTTTAATACTTAGGATAAAAGAGAGGTGTGAAAATTATTAGACTACAAAAAAGAAGTGCTATATATCCAAAAAAGGTTGTGGATATTTTGCTGCCCTCTCATCTAACATCAACAGGTGCCCAAGCCTGCCCTTCTTGTCACATCCATGGAGCTGTGGAAGGTGTCAGCTCTAAGGGGATACTGCCAGTGCATTTTGGCTTTCATGAAATATTTTAGACCCCAAAATTGCAATTCACCCCCACACTTAGAATTGTATTAAATTATTACAAAAAAAAAAAAAAAACAAAACAGCCTACTTTTTAGATTAACTTGTTCCCAATGCCCAGCTGCAAGATGCCAACACCTGCTTGACAACACCGTTTCACCTGCAGGATCAGTAATGTTCAACCCCAGCTGCTGCCCCAGCTGGTGCTGGGATCCAGGGTAGGGCTGGACCTGGACAGACCCCTGCTCTCAGGGCTTTGGGGGCAGGGAACAAGATGTAACATAGAGTTACTTAATCCTCCAGAAAGAAGAGCTGTCCCCACAAGTTTTCTAAATAGGAAGCCAATGTCTGAATGCTGTGCGTGAGACTCGGTCTGCCAGTACATGTGTGGAGATACTAAGGAACAGATCCTGAAATCCTTCTGTGAGATTTATACAGGTTGTTATAAAATCATTAAAGTTGTTACAAAATGGTAAAGGTTATACAAAGTAGTCACTGAAACCAAGGACTTCCAGGCTGAGGACACCTGTGGGACAGAGGAGAATGAGCACGGGACGCTTCTGGCTTGTGTTGAGCTGCTCCATCTTGGTTTGAACGTCATTGCTCCTACCTTTCTGGCTTGCCTCTGTAATCTGGTTGACTGCATCCTGAGTGGCCTGTCCCAGTGTGTTTGCTGCAATTAAGGGAAAACAAAATCAAAATCCTTCCCAGCTGTTGGTGTTTCTGGGTTACAGGAATTCTGTACAGCCAGCTTTCTGCATGGCTGCAGCAAGCTGTGCCCCTGGCAAGGGCCTGGGCTGGTGCAGAGCAGGCTGAGGCCGTGCCCTTCACAGGGCAGCCTGGGCACTGTGTGCTGCCACAGCAGCTTGCCCGAGATTAGCACTCACCTGGCACCTACGGTCAGCTGAGCAAATCAATGGCAGATAAGCAGGAGATAAGAAAAGATTAGCAGTGAGTTGGAATGATGACATTTAGCTGCAAGCTGCTTATTTAACACTACACTTGCTTTTATTGATTTTTCTACCTTATTATGCTTGGGGTAGGTTGGCCATCTAACCTGCATTTTCCCTATGGGCCGTTTGGGACTAGAGCCTGTTCTAAAATGGAAGCAAGTCCATTAAACTGAGCTGGACAGGAGAAAGGAGATTTTTACAAACAAGAGATGAATAGAAGAAGAGGAGGAGAAATTAGAAACATAAAAAATCAACTCCAGAATATGAAACATTAAAATAAAAGTGAGATGCCTTGCAATTGTAAGATAGCTGATAGTTTATGAAACAGTGAAGTGCCCACTCAGTGACAGGAATATATTAAGGATGCAGCAAAGACTATTTTGTTCTCCAGAAAGGGGTTCTGTAATGTTTGTGGGGCTACTGCACATTTGTCCCCAGACGTATGGAAATTTTCTGTAACTTCAATATAATCAATGATGTTACTCATATATTTCAGCTATACAAGGAAGTATTTGCAGGATCAGAATCCAGAACCATATATAACCAAATTATACACTACCAGGAAAGAACAGCAGGCAGACATGGTACGGAATAAACTATAAAAAACTACTATAAGCTGCACACATTTTGCAATTTTTAATTTGAAGGAAAACCTTTTATGCTTTGCATTGAAAAGTTGGTTTCCAAAGCCCAGTGCTAATGACAAGAGTGCTTGGCCTTAGAACATGGGCATTGCTATGACAGAAATGTGCATACAGGGTTTTTCAACTCCTGCAGTCTGGTGATCACTGCTGAAGAACACAACAAAAACGTCCTATACATTACAAACCATCCATTGCAATCAATGGAGTTACATTACCAGAAGGCACTGACAGGCCAAATGACAAATGTTCATCAAAGCTTAACTCCAGCATACTAAAAGGAGTGCTGATTAAAAGCCACTGCAGAGCATGAAAAAAGACCACCCTGAGCAATGCAAATGCTAACAGAAGGCTGTTATCACAAAAAAGAGGCTTCACTGCTCTAAAAATATTAAGTTTAGCATTTTGGAGAGTGATGAAAGTTGGACAATGCCCAGGAGCCAGAGAGGGAGAAGTGGGTGAGTAGAATGAGGCAGCTTTAGGAGCCATGGCTGGCCTGTGGTCTTCTCCAGGTGATGGCCAAAACTTGCAAAGTGGGGAAAAAAGAGCAAGCTGTGTCCTGCTAGCATCGATGCAGCTATGGGTTGTGGTTATTTAGCAACTAAACCCCCCTCCAAATATACAACAATACTAAATCTTTCTTACCAGCGTCTTTTGCTGCACCTTCAGCTTGTTCCTTCAGTCCCTGGAAGCTTTTACTCGACATTGTGGCTTCTGAAACCTGCTGAAGCCCTCTCCTTTGATAAAATGGAGCACCTGGTGATGTAGAGTGCACTGTGTGATAGTGTCCTGACTTGTTCTGGTTTTATACATCTGCCAGGAGACCTGCTGATTCTTTTGGGGGTGACTGGTACAATGGGTGGAGTTCAAATGTGAAGAATGAGAGCTGAAAATAGAGAAAAGCTGTTTATTTACCCTCCCTGATGAGAGGGTGTGCCCAGATTGAGATTTTTGCTCCATCACGCTGTCTTTGTCTGTTAATTTGTGCTGTTTGTTTTTTTATAGCCAAAACTGCAAAAAAACCTGTTCCACCATCACAGGCAGAGGAAAGCCACTGAACTGAGCTTTACAGAGTGCTGGAAAACTACTGAAGTGCAGTGTGTGGGCATGGCCAGCTTTCATCCCTGCCAGGCTGACTTCCTTCTCCTTCCTTCAGCCCCTGAGCACACCCTCTTGAGAACAGAAACCAGCCCAAATTTGTTTCTGTTCTTAGAAGTTTTAATCACAACCCCCTTTTCTTGTCAGGTGGGACAATGTTAGATGGTGAGACCTGTAATTTATCTGTATTTTTATAAGAAACTGTTAATCTGGTCATCTTTCAAGTTGCCTGCTCAAGGTGGATTGCAAGTCCCATCATCACAGAAGGCCTTGCCAGGCTAAGGCAGGTAACCAGTGCCAGCACAAGCAGCTCTCAGGGGAAGGTAAAAAAAATAAAAAGCCAAATTAGCAAACCCACATTTTCCTACTGTGGCTTTGTGGTAAGATTCTTTTCGTTCAGAAATTATGTTTAAACTCACTTCCTTTCCTAGCATTACCACATTAATAAAAGTTTCTGGCTTTAACCTCTAGCATTTCCAGGTTTCCACTAGCCTTTGGAGTTTATATTTCCTGCCATCAATCCCCAGTACAAAGGTACTTTGTACAAGTAAACTATTGTCAGAGTCAGGAGCCAAGTGGCTCTCTGGTTTTGTGGGGTTTGGGTTCCTCGTTGCCATTTTCCAGGGTACAAAGTGTCTCTGTTTGGATGGCCACACTCATACCCATATTTTTCTTCCTGAGAAAAGATTTGTGTTGGTAAACTGGCACAGATGCCACAGATGAACCAGGGTGGGCACTGACAGTTCTCATAAGTCTAGGACTTCATTAGTACCCAAGTGAGGAAGAGTCACAGAAAACAAGGTTCTGAGTATTCCTCTGCTGCTCCTACTCCACTTGTCATTTCAGAGAGCTCTTGTCAACTTTTGCATCACTCCTTTGTTATTTCAAACAGCAATCCTCTTTTCCCCTTCAATGGGTCAATTAGACTTTTAATTATATACTCACAGCAGGTATCTTTTTCAATTTCTTGCTGATTTCTTTCCTGGAATGATGTTCTTACTTGAATTTGCAAAAGCTCAGATAAAAAGACACACAGTATTGTGGGGCTCTGGCATTTTTTTAACCAAGTCACTAACAGAGACCTACTTATTTTCCTTTCCCAAACCCAAGAACACAGCCACACCAAAGCCACCTCAAACAGGTGGATTTCAGCTGCTCTCAGCCCATTAGTCAGGCAGATTAACCTTTGTGTGGAGTGTTAGTGAAAGGAAGGAAGAAGCTCTCAGGAATCCACCAGGCAGCTTGTCACAGCTCAAGAGAAGATGTGCCCAGGTTTCAGCAGCAAATACCTCCCAGATGCCTCCCCCTTGTTTCCAGTGCTGGGTTTTCAGTGCAAGAGCCCTGCAGGTGCTGGCTGGGATAGTCTGCCTGAGAGGGACACCAGGAGTTTAGGAAAGCATTTAAAACTGAAGCACGCCCACATCAAGCATTAAACCACACTAGAGCACTATTTTATAGACTCATAATCAGTTCAGGTAAATATTGCTCTCTAATTCTGTTCTAATACCTACCTAGATTTCCCCAGCTCCAACTATTATTCTTCCAAGTAGAAATCTCTATTCAGTATTTTGGACTCAATATGGGTGTCTGATCTGTGCCACTGCTTGCTCAAAGCATTATCTCCTGCTCAAAGCATTAGGTAGCATGAATTCCTGAGTAAAACCCACACTGCTGACAGCATGGCAGCATGACTCCTTATCTAATGTAATCTTATCTTTAGCATTAATATAATTATCCTGATTCCAAACTGAGAAAAAGAAAAGTGAGCAAATTACTCTTGCCCAAATTGGCCTGGCATGATCATTATAATGCAGCCCAGAGCAGAGGGAAGAGGGACATCTGCATGGTATTCATTCCATAGGATGGTAGCAATAATCTGTGCATCAGGTGGCAGGCTGAGTTACAAAATCACAGCAGAAAATAATGGAATATATTGCATAATATTTATCCACTCTGTGAGTTAACATTACTTTTTAGAAGACAATAGTAAGCCTTTTGAACTAATGTTAGATATTAATTCGAGTGCTTAAAAATGAGGATTTGAAAGGGTGGAAAGCTAGTTTGGACTTTTCCTCCATTAAGCTCTCAGTATCTGCTGAGACTGCAGGTAGAAATCCTGGTTAATGCCAGCTGGGGCATGCACCACAGTGTGTGCAGAGCCACAGGCCAAGGTGCCCCTGGAATTTCAGGCTATTCCAAAAGTTACTGCACCTGGCAATGCCAGGGTGCATCACTGACACTGGCCACTTCCAGAAGTGCAAAAGTGCAGCAACCCCAGCAGCGCTGTCTGCTCACCTGTGACACAGAACATGTCTGACTCCCTTTTCTGTGTCTGACTCCTCGGGCTTTTCTCCCCATTCTGCACCTTCAGTCTGTTGCCTCTGATGAGCAGATATTTGTGTTTGGGGAAAAGAAATCCAAAAGTAATTTAAGTGCTAGGAGTGCTTCACAACCCATGGCCCTGGAAAGAGCTGGCAACTACAAATACACAGCCCAAGCAGCTGTGAGTTAAATCCAAAGCACCATGGGGAAATTAGAAATTGTTCTGGTTTCCTTCCCTTTCACACATCTTCTGTGGCAGCTTTGAGCGCCCTCTCATATATCAGTGACATGAACCCTTCTGCTCTATTACCTGATGAAGGTCAGAAGTAATTAATCAGAGCTACAGCTTATGTTTTACACATGAAAATGGGCAAGTGAGGTTAATTAAAAAGTGTTGAATTTTATTTGGGTTTTCTTAAATTTTAATTTGACCAGGGTTGGGATTTATAGATAGGTGTCGTGTCCATTAGCAAGGAAAATGCAATGATGTATTAGGGCTAAAAAGTTCTACATAGATCACTCCAGAAGTGTGCAATGTTCAACATTCATGGCTACTAAAGGAAACTGATATTAGTGTGGAAGGGATGTGATGTTTATGCCATGAAACAGAACTGTTTTAAGAAATGCAATGGTTTGCTTATAGATAATTATTGTAAGTCATATGTCAGTAATTTAGGAGATCAAACTGAAGTTGTTCTAATTAAGCTAAATTAGCTGTTTGGTTCAATTATTGATATACAGTTCTAGGACAAAAGTAGGTTTAACTGATTCTGCCTTTACACAGGAGGTAACATCCTCCAGGAATGATCAGTCAGCTCTGCTTCAAAGCATGAGATCAACGTAAGGCCAGTGCAAATGGAGTCCTTTACCTTCTACTTTTTCATCTTGAGGTAACATCCAGGTGAAGTGTCACATTTCTGCTGTCATCTGGAGCACATGAAACCATCCTTAGATACTGGGACTGCTGTGGAGTCTCACAATAGCCTGCAGATTCAGGACTCGAACAGATAGCAAAAAAATTGTGAGGTCTTTAACTTAGAAAGGCTAGGAAGATGAGAAAGGCTTGATTCCCACCTTAAAATCTGGCATGGGACTGGGGAAATAAATAACTGGTCCTATCCCAGGAGTGACTGGCTGGGAGAGCTGAGGATGTGAGCTGGGATGCAAAGCCTACAGGAGAGCTGTGTATATTTTCTAGGCACACAGAGAGGAAGGAGAGCTGTGGCTCTGCCCTTCTGGCACACAGTTGTGCTGCCCACCCCACGCAGGTTTAGTGGGAAGGGATGGGTGGAGAAGCAGAACTACCTTGCATTCTGGATCCACACAAAAAAGCTGTGCCAAAGCTTGACAGAGAAAGTCTGTGCTGCTTCAGACTTGTGTGGGCAGGGGTTTCTCTGATATTCAGAAAGTGCAGTTTTGATTTGGCCTTTTTCTGCTCTGCTAGTAACAGTATGGAGTATCTTCTTGTGATTTGGTAGGGTTTCAATCCATTTATGAAACAGTTAAACTGAGTTTCAATGTGTCAAAAAGGTAAGAATGTGATTTTATAGAGAATAGTATTATAAAAACAGCCCTTCAGTTTTTAATTGGGTACTCAGTTTTAGTACAGGCATTATGCAGACACAAAAATAGGGCTTTCAAATGAAGTGGGATTCTAAGTGTATTATTACCTGATTTGCATTTAAATTAGTGGAATGCTGTTTGGGATATTCTGTAGAGAGCCACTGCTTCCTCTCCTTCATCCTAGAAAAACATCTTTAAAAAATTAGGCCCTGCATGCCTTTCAGCCCTTGGCTAGGACATAACTGGGGGGAGCTCACAAAGGCTGTGAGCTCTATCAGAACAAATCACGCAATAAAGCTTCACTGCAGTTTTACATGGAAAGGAAGTTTTGCTGTTACAGGGAGAAAATAATGGATTTCAGCACTTTGTTGGTCACTTGTATGGTGAGGTTGATGCAACACTTGGCAGCAGCTGTTGCTGGCTTGTTGGATCCCCTCAGAGGACAGAGTGCAAGTGCCCAGAGTCCTCACTGTGGGGACAGACAGTGGCCACACTGTGCCTGGCACTGGGTGCTGTCTCATCACAGTGGGATTAAGTTAACAGCTTGTGTGACAGTGGTATCACATGCACAAAGTCCACTTCAATAATTCACAGGGTGAGATGAGTAAAAGAAATTCTTGATTGCACAAGACCTGTCAGCAAAAAATAATTTTGCTAGTGTTTGCTTCCCTCAGCACTTACCTGGGGCAGGGGGTGCCAGCATTTCCATAGTGAAAGTACCTTCTCCTGTGGGATGTTTCTGATACATCTCCTCCATCACTGCACTTTTCACTTTCCTTCCATCATCTCTCATTACACTTATCTGAATACTCATTGAAAACACAGACTTCCTTTCAACGAACTAAACAGATGTACAACAAAGTTTAGTTGAATAATTAATAGACAATATTTTGTCTCTTTAATCAAAGACCATTATACTTCAAAAGAAACAAGTCCTCACCTTTCTTACCTCTGACAAATGTGGCTCAGACCTCTGGCTTCTGCTTCCCACAGCTGGGTGACAGCCAGTCTGAGACAGGGACAGGGAGGAAATAGAGGCTCCCTGAGCCATTGCATGGGCACAGCACTTCCCTGTTCCTGCTCACTGACACAGGGTACTCATGTGGAAGGAAATTGCATGTCCTGGTGTCTGTCTCCAAGACTTGGGAGTGCCTGTGCAAGATATATAAACACTCTCTGGGTCTGACTGCCATGGACTAGACCAGACCTGCGCAGGGACTGCACCTGCCTGGGCCCAGAGCAGGGCTCTCCCATGTGAGAGGCAGGCAAGTGCAGAGGCAGATCTGTAGGAAACATTTGGACACTTTTGGTGCCCAAACGTTGGCCAGTAGTCAAGCAGTGTTTTCAGTCCCACAGTTCCATATACAGGTATGTAAATACTGGGAAAACCCTTTCCCTTGCACAGGCAAGGAAACACAGAGAGCTGCATGCTGCTCTCCCAAGCAGCCACATAGCTCAGTGTGGCAGAGATGTGGCACACCATTCTTAGCTCAGTAATTACCATTCTCTCCTGGTTTAAGCCCTTGGAACCAGGGGCACAGCCTGATTGAGAGATGGGCATTTGGGGAGCAGCTCACTGCTCCTTTGAGTTACAGCTCCTGCCTCCCACACATGCCCTACATAGTGAAAGCATTCACCTCCGAATTTTTGCAAAACACTTTTTTTGAAACACTTTTGTTTGTGTCCCCATAAAGCAAAGCTTTTGAGCAAAAGGTTTTACTGTGTCTCTCTAGCGAGCACTGAGAATAGAATCCAGCCTCCTGCTGCTGGGTATGAGTAACTCTTTTTGTCCTCTTACCTTGGCCTCAATTTTAGTGACTGTTTAATTGGCAGATACTTGCAGGACATCTGAAAAGAGTATGCACATATCAGATATATCTTCCTTTGAGGGTCCTTGTTACCTCTGCTAGGGCTCTTTTGTTCCCTTTCTGTGTTGAGATCAAAGACCCACTGGGATGGAAATCCTGTGGTCTCTGCAAGGCAATGCTTTACACATGCTGTTATGCCTGACAGAGGCTGCCAGCACACTTGCTAGATGCTTCCATGCCACAGCAAGTCTCTTCTACCTTCCATAGTCATCATCATTTAACAGCTTAATGAAGATTATTGGTCTGATTTTGAAACAGTTTAAATCTCAACAGTTTAAACTGGCTTCTCCTTGATTTGTGGGTGCTCTTCCTGCAGGCAAATAAAAGAACCCATTTTTACATCCATACCTACAGGTGTGCTTTAAATGTAGCCCATTATTCACAGCCACATTTTCCTGCTCTCTCCCCTGGTGAATGTGGAGGGTCTCAGCAGCTGAGCTACAGCCTGCCTGAGTGCTGTCACCGACACCAGCTCCGTGTTCGTGCTGCACCAGGAGATTCTCCTTTGGCACCTGCCCTCACACTCACACATTTCACAGCAACCCTGCCTGTCCCTGCCAGCTGTTCTGCAGTCCTGACCAGGTCAGCTGGTGCCCATCACATTTCTTTAATTACCTTCTGGCAGCTTGTTACATCCTGATGCCAGGAGAGCTTTCTGGTGCAAACAGAATAAACTGAGCTCAACATCACTCTCACATTCCTTTAAAAAGCCTCCTTTCATCCTGTATCACCCCCACATTCTCTCTTAAACATGGCAAGTATTTAAAAAGTGAAATATTTTTCAGCCCTGAGAGACAGAAAGCCAGCCTACCTACAGTACTGTTTTCAGAAATACAATTTTTCATGATTCTTCATCTCTTACAACATGATTTAAGGCCTTTACAGTTTTGAGTATTCTAATACTGCACTTTTACAGGAAGAAGGCATCAGTCTGGAAGGATCCACATCTAAAATGCGCAAACAAAACCAACAAGACAAAAAACTTGTTCAAACACTTTTTATTAGTTAAAAAAAAATTCCATAATGCCTAGAGATCCCAAGTGCCAGTGCATATGGATGCAAGACACAGATTTGTGAGTCCAACCAAAATATACAAAGCAACTGGGAGGCCAGGAGGGAGGCTGGGAAAGACACACAGCCCAGTACACACCTGCACGTTACTTACAATGGAGGAGTCTGGCTTACATATATTGTATGACTGGTTTATGAGGCAAGTGCAAGACTACAGAGCTGAATGCAGTTAGTCTATGGACAGTGGGATTTTCCTGTTGTGGTGTCGGCTAATACTTCAATGTATGTTCTTGGAATGGTCTCTTTTGAGCAAGAATTCCCTAACTTGATGCATCACCTCCAGTTTCACCCTGTGAGAGAAGACAAGTAAGAAAATAGGTAAATATTTGGAAAATATAAACAAATATGGGAGAAAAATCAATGCTGACAGTCACCATACAAAACCCCCACAAAGAGCTAAAAACAATGAAGACCATGGGTAATGCAGAAAATAAATGAATTATCCATTCCCTCTGGAAACCAGACACACTCCTGGTGTAACTCAGATCTCTGGGGAAAACAAGGGTGTGAATTCAAGTCCAGTTAATGTGGGGCCAGGCTCCACTGGCAGGAGTGTCCTGCTTTGTGCTCCTGCCTGACCCAGCCCTGCTGCAGCCATGCAGCCATTGGGATTGTGGGGCCCATTTCTGGGACTGGCACTGGGGGGTGATGGCTGCAGGAAGGTGGGAGATGCAAGATGAGACTTTTGGGAGCTTTGGGGACCATGAAAACAGCCTGAGATTCAGAAAGGCTGAAAACTGTGGGGTTTGGGTGCATGCAGTACTTGTGGAGGGGACAGACATAGGCCTTAACACTGAAATTGTAAAGGAAATACCACATGAGAAGCATTTGCCCCTGTTGTCCATGTTGGACGAAAAGTCGTCCTTGTTCAAGAGTTGAAATTGGCCCAGAGACAAATTTTAGACCCAGGGCTTCAAAAGAACGTTGCAGGTAGAACAGTTAAAAAAGCAAATGAACTAATTTAAATACAGAAAATCTGTAGAAAAACTTAACTTGTTATCTAAATTTCTTGGCTGCAAACAGGAAAAAGTGATTCCATGTGATGACAGAACCATAGGACAGCGTTCACTTTAATATGTGCATTTACACCCCAAAATCAACCCAAATCAGGCAGCAGTTTGCAATCTGACCATCTGTCACTCATGGAAAATTCTCAAGATAAGGAAATGGCGAGAATGAGAACAGAAGAGGGTTTTTGTCCAACAGCTCAGTGAAGTGGGAACAGTGGTGGGCTCGTTGCATGGCAGCTCTAGAACCCCAGGTGCCAGGGGGGACATTGTGCCAGGGGGAAGCCAGCAGCCTGACAGAGGAGGGGGTGGCACAGAGGGCCCGGGGCAGTGGGGATGTGGCAGCACTCACCTCTCCTGCTGGGGCCCCCTCTCCCTCCAGCCTGGGCTGCTCGGGCGGCTGCGGCGGGGCCAGGTCCTCCTGCCAAGTCACAAGCAACATGTTTGTCCCTGCTGCCACATGCAGAGTCATCACCCTCATCTTAGGCTGAGTGACATGGGGGTGAGCATTACACACACAGGCAAATTAGCAGCTTGAATAGATGGCAGATACTGCTTGAAATCCATTTCTGTTGTGCAGCTGGTTTGAGCAGATATCTATGAGAAAGCCCACTCAATTTTTAACAGCCTGGTTTATGGTCTTTTTCATACAGAAAATCAGCTCTTTTTCTGTCATTGAGACCAGAGTTTTGACTCCATCAGTGTGAAGAAATTTGGGAGCAACAAATAAATTTATGTATAGCAAGGCTATACCCAGCCTTCCCCCACATTATCTTACCCTGAGCACTCATTGCACAGACTAAATTGAATGGAAGATATAGCAGTACTGTGGGGCTGTTAATGTCATGCTTCAGAAAAAATATCCTTATCAAAGGGTAAGCCTTTCTTTTTGTTTGAGTACAAGCATTTACTTAAGTATTTTGGGCTCTTCCAGCTACTTGCCTACATCTTTCAGCTACCTTCCTATTCACAGAAGAAGAGAAAAGGTTGCATTACCAGGTAATTACGTTAAACACAATTTGGCCACATGGGAAGAGAAGACAAAATCCTGACCATATTGGATGTGCACAGGGGATGGAGAGAAAGCAGAAATGCACCTAGGTGGAATCAGTCAGTGAGAGTAAGGGGAAGCAGAAGTAGCAGAACCTCTGTAATTTTAGTTGAGTTCACCAGAGAACTCAAATTACAAAGCTTCTCTGTTTTCTTTGAGCACACATGCCCAGCAGCTCCCCTGAATGACTCTCACCCCACATGAAGTCAGGGAGGGAACCAGAGACACATATATTATGGAAAGGAAAAGTCAATTTTGCATGAAGGCAAAGTTATGAATTTCAATATTTTGGAAACACAAGGCCACCACCTTGCTTGGTGCTGCTGCTGATGCAATGCAAATCAATATCCCTGCCAAACCTACTGTAAACAAAACTTTATGTGCTATGTGTTTAGGGTACTCTCTTTTCCTTTTCACACATGTCCTTACTTTCCTGTCCAGTCACAACTGTTCTCATCAGCAGGATAACATCCCTGCCATGCCTGCTGCTTTTTGAACTGAATTTGGGAAAAAAAGGCAATGTGAAGTAAAAAGGAAAAACAGATGGAGTTACATAGATACAAGGTAGAGCCCACGAAAATTTGATCTGGAAATTGAACTTCAGATCCATGTGTGGCAGCAAGGGGAGCCAGGAGGTGGAAGCACTGCAACCTGCTTGTCCTACCTATGGGCTTCCTGTTCTCCATGCAAGCCACTGTAAAATCAATGCACTGGAGGCAGAAACCAGCCAAAGTATGAGCTGCAGCCCTGTGCTGATGTCTGTCACAGCTGCAGGCATTCCTCCATCTCCCTGCTGAGACCAGAGCTGATCAGGCTGTTTGTGGAGAGCACCATGTGCTGCTGGTATCCCTAGATGAGAAGCACAGTGTGACCATTTTCTCCTAAGGAAAATGATCTTAACTTGCATTGCAGTGTTGGCTGAAATGATTCTTGCTGCTACCAACTTGAGCTGTGTTAAGCAAGCCCAGGTAACCAAATGACATCAAACTGCACATCATGGAAGCCAGTTTCTCCTGCAGGGAGACGTGCAGCTCCTCAGGAGAGGCCACTGCTCTGATGGAGCCGCCTGGTCACAGTGTTTCTGAGATGAGTCAGCTCTCCTGCTGCCAGCAAACAGCTCTCTACTCTGAATTTATGGACGCTCATCCAGCCTCAGGATCCAGCCTGCAGCTTTAAAGCACTTTACATTTGCACTTACATTATGCTTTGCATTTCTATACCTTATAACTCAACAGTGCACATTAGGCCAAAGAAGGTAAATAGCCTCAAATTGTATTTTGAAGATTTACAAACAGATTTTTGACTATTAGGTGGAAAGGAAAGAAACTTCCAATGGAAGCCACTGTCAATAGCTGCAAGAGCAGGCATTTCACAGTGTTTTGCAGGTGGAGTTACCAGCTGCTGTGTGAAATTGTGAAGGTCAATCAAAGGCAGCTGCCTCAAGTGCTGAGCTGCATTGGAAAAACTGGGGAACAGCTCACAGGAACACAAGGACCAGTGCAGTGCACTCCATCTTTCCACAGGGTACGAGCACCTATTGTTCCTGTGGGCAGAGAGCCTGGCTCTGGTAGATGTGAAAGAGTCCTGGGAGAGGGACACCTTTCTTAGGACCACCCTAGGGATGCTGTATCCAAGAGCACGGGGTGGGCTGAAGAATCCCTGTTCAGCTATTGTGCTGCTTCTCACATCCCTCAGATCCCGCTCTCTGCCAAGACTGCTCCAGAAGGCTAAAAATCAACCATCTATTTTTAGAAAGGGAAGCAAGTGAGTTTCTGCAGGGTGTTTCTAGGCTGTGTTGGAGGAGCCAGCACAATAGCAGGATGAAGAGGTGTCAGGCTGTGTTAGGGATGGCGCTTCACAGCCTTTTTCTCACGCGCTTCCACCCTGCCCAGAACAGGGAACAGGAGGTGAGGAAGGGCTGCATTCTTCAGCTGGGTGTTACCTGCCTGGGGATTTCAGGCACTGCTCAGGAAGACAACATCCAGAGCAGGACCATGTGGGGTAGGGGTCTCCACTTTGGACAAAGAGCCAGAAATTCCTGGGCACCAGCTCCAGCTGTAACACTGACTCGGAATAACACTAGACAAGAAAGAAGGGGTGAAAATCCAACTTCCTTGGGGGGCAGAAAGAGTTTAGTCATTCCTGTCAGTGCTCATCTCCTCATCAAAAGGGGAAACATTTTCTCAGCTAAAGGCATGTTGAAACCATGAAACAATTAGTAATGCTCCACCTGCTCCTAAAGGGAGAGCCCAATATTTCCTCTCAGAAATTACATACTTTATTATAAAAAAAATATTTTAAATGGAAATAAAATTAAATATTTAGTTTGCTATGGGCTAGTTTCTTCTGGTTTTGGGTGGGCACTTGAATCTTTTTTTGCTAATGAAGAAAGAAAAGTGAAGTACTGGAACGTAATAGTTAAATGAAACACAAGACCTCAGAATTCTTTCCAAGAACAGTATATAAGTTTTTAAATATTTAGTGTGTTTAAAAATATATTTCATGTGGAATATATACACCACAGGAAATCTCTATATATAAAATACAAAATTTCGCTAAGATTATGAAACAGAGGTACATGTTCAGCTATCACTAATTAAAAACTCAACAAATTAAGACCTGCCATTTATAAAAATATTCCTGTATAATAGTAAGGGATCTTAAATAGACTGTACTATAGGCTTCTGGGTTCGGATATTTTAATAAGTTGTTTTAAAAACTGATTTTGAAAGCCCAGAAATAGTGGAAGAAATTAATTACAATTTAATTCCTCAGATTTCTAATTTTCACAGGTTCTATGAAATTCCCCTTTTCAGCTCTTCAACAACTGACTTGTCCACTGTCTGAGTTCATATATGAAGTAGAATTTATAATTTTCATCTATATTATCTTGTAGGCCTATGGGAATTTTGTTGCTGTCCCCAAATATTCAGACATAAACATACTAAGATTATTGTCCTTATATAACAGAGAAAGCAGCCCAGATATTGGATGCTGGGATATACTCATCAAATCTCAACAAATTCAGTGGCAAACAAGATTTCATCATCATCATCATTATTATTATTATTAGTTTAAGGCTGAAAAGCCACAGAGGTTCACTGGCAGCCTAATGTGCTACAAATTCAAGGCCCTCTAAGGGATATCAGTTGCATAAGGTGGAGAGGCTCAGCCTCCTGTGGTGCTCCTGACCTTGGCTGCTGGAGCAAACACAATGCTGCCTGGCAGCATCCCCAAGCCACTCCCTAGGAGAGCCTCAGGCAGCCTGGCAGGTCCTGTGGACGAGCTGTCCTGGACTCTGGACTCTGAGCTGAGTGCTCAGAGTGATGCCAACAGTTCTGACTAAGGGGTCAACCCTCGATTCAAGTGAGTGGACCCACCAACAGAACAGGCAGAGGGGCATGCAGGATTCCTGTCTTACCCTACAGATCCAGGTAGTCTTTTGTGATGGCTTTGTTTTTACCCAGCTCACAGCCAGACTCTCTCAGCGTCTCCTGGGACTGCTTATACAAATGATACATATTTAATGTGTATCCTATGGGATTGCAGAGGTACAGCCTTGAGCCATGGAGCATATCCATGGTCTTGTAGGCCTTAAGGCTTCACCAGTGCCACTAATTCAGCTATTTTGGATGGGAAAAGGTCTGTCTGAATGAGACTGAGACGAGAGCACAGAAAAAGTGCCTATAAGGCTGAGTGCCCCACTCCATGCTGCTTGTGCAGTCCCCCCTGCTCCATGACATGTGGAAGGATACCACTGGGATGCATCACCGCATCAACTAACTACAGGGAAGCTTCAATACAAAGGGGAACAAGTTTCAGCTATTTATTCTACCTAATTGTTGGGTGGTTTGGCTGTTGATTTCCCTGCTCCTCCTGCTTAGCAGCTCTGCCCTTGGTGCCTTCTCAGATGCCCTTGGTTGCTCTGTCCTTGTGGCACTTGCCCAGCCCAATCGAACTTGGACAGGAAGGTCACTCCGTTTCTGCTTCTAATTCCTTCTGTGCAACTGACTGCCTCTGCATCAGAGGTGTTGCAGGGTGTAAGTGAAGGGAATTAAGGCCATGAAGAGCAGCCTTTCCCACTCAGGATGTGCATTGTTATGAAAGAGATGAGCCATGGCGTGGGTGCGGCCACGTGCGCCAGGTCAGGTGCGCAGAAACGCTGCGATCCAGAGAACGCGCCCAGCAGTTGCACATAACTGACAAATGCTCATTTAATTCATGGGCTGAAGTAAAAACCAGATCAGACCCAATTCAAAGTGACAGAGTCATGAACTGACAACTAGACCATGAAAACTGACAGGACAAACAGATCTAAAGGGAAGATTTAGGTGGAAGGTGTAGGGAAGCATCAGTTACTGGGGAAATTGTTCCAAGCCCTGAGGGACATTTTGAGAGCGTGTGTATGTACATGGGCTTGTTCCAGCCACGTGGTGTCTGCATTGCAGCAAGCCCTGTGCTGTGTCATACAGACGAAGCATTAATCCTCCTCTAAGACAGGGATATTTAGTGGGTGGTTATCTCACTGGAATCTCCTAATGTCCACCCCAGGGATGGGGATGGGTGCAAAGCCACAGACAGAACACACTACTGACTGGTTTAATTCCTTTTTGTATCAGAAAAATTGCGGAGGGTTTATAATCCCTTAATTTACAGATTTTTTAGCTGATACCTAAAAACTCCCCCAAATGAGTCAACTCTTTCTTGTACTCAGCAGTGACCAGGTCAGTGCCAAAGCCCTGTCAGGCAGTGCCAGCACAACTCAAGGTTGTTCTCATCTGCTTGGCACCCCTCCATAGGTGTAGGGTTACTTCAGGCCCATTTCCTTCTACATGGCTCTGAGTGCTCCCCCCAAGGACAGCGAGGAACAGCAGCCTGCCAGGGTGCCCACATTTCAGTGCCTGCTGTGATGCAACAAAGGGCTGAATTCTTTCCCATGGCCAAAGTCACCATTTGATACACCGGCACCCCACGGCTATCCTGAGCAAAACTTACCCCAAAACCCACAGAGTACCCCCCTCTTTCCTAATGTGTGCCTGCCACTGATCCCAGCTGTCAAATGCACAGACTGAATGTCAACGAGCTCTCAGTAATTGATATTAATAGTGGCAATGGCCAGCTGGGGACATGCCTTCTGGGCCACTGGAGTCCCCAGCCCCAAGTCACCCCGAGCACTGCTCAGTGCCATGCATTCACAGATCCCTGCCACTTGGAACAGCCCTTCTACAGCAGCGAACAACACTGGAGATAGCTGAAAACCCAAATGCGATGTTGGCAAGTGCTCTGTGCAATTAGAAAGAGGGAGGATTGTATGGAGCATGAACAAATCTCAGGACTGGATGCTCCCTCAGACTTCTGGGGCTGAAATGCTTGTGATTATTCCAGGACTGCAGGATTATAACAGTGGATATTCACTGTTTAAACATTTACAAGCTATACATTATCACTCTTAGTGTATCTCCAGTGGGTCTCCCTCATGCATTACAGTGCCTGCTGCTGCTCTTGGCAGACTCTGGATGTATTTCCATTAGCAAATTGTGTAACATAATAGGAGCAGTTCTGGAAAAAGGACAGCTGGTGCTGAGAGCACAACTCCTTATACTCCTTTCAGGACCCTCCCTCTGGAACAGCTTTGGTTCCATGGCAATTATCCATTAGCAGTGGGGATGGCCTCGATGTGCATGTGGAGCCCAATCTTCTGTGTCTAGCTGGATCCAAAAGGTGTCTAGCTACATGCTAAAGTATGGTGAGTATGAATAAAAGATTTGCACTCCTAAGCTGAACTAATCCAGCAGAACAGATGAACCCTCTTTCACAGAAACAAATGTTTTTCCTGATTTTTTTTGTCCTGTGATTTTTCTTGTTTTTCTCCTCCTGTTTTCAGTCTGCTGCCTCAGCACCTCTGCTGTTTGGCATGACACTGTATCCAAAGCAGTTTCCTGGCTCCATTTAGTCTGCCCTTTGGCATGTGACACATCCTAATTTTTTAGTTCTTAATCAATCTCTATTTTAAGTCTAAGCAATTGGACATCAATGGAAGACATCAGAATGACAGTTCAGATGCTCTCTGGAAAACCTGCACTTGTTTAAGCTCTGAAATTAGCTGTAAACTGTAGCTGTCAGTCTTTGAGGTGGGGTTCTCACTTAGGAGGAAAGGAGAAGAGGATTGCTGCTGCTCAGTCCTTGCTGGAGGGGAGACAGCTTGCTATCTGCAGCAAGGATTCCTACCATCAGCAAATTCCTCACTCTCCTGGGTCAATCACCCCACGGTCAGTCAAAAGGTAGGAAGGGGTATTCTGGCCCCATGGAATTAGGAATCACTGTTTGCACTCCTGCAGCCTCACTGCTGTTCCCTGTGGGAATAGAGATTAAATTTATCCCAAGGGCTTAGCAGAACTCCTGTATCTGCCCTGTTCACATGCTTTCAGGAGGACATTTTGCGTCACTTGAAGCTGCTGTTCTCTTTTGTTAGGCTATTCTCTCAGGATTTATATGCTGTGTAGAAGTTTTGTTTCACATCACAATGTGTTTATGTGCAGGTCAGGAAATTAATCAGCCGACTATCTGAACAATTAAAACTATTTTGGCCAGCCAGACTTTGCTTTGATTCTGGGTTTGGGTTTGCTGTGACTCATAAAGCTCATGTGGCCATCAACAGCACTGGTCACACTCTCTGAAGAGGGGAAAGAGAAGGGCTTACCAAAGAGCTGCCAAACATTGGCCTCGTGCTGTACAAATGGGTGCTGTTTGTTACCAAAGCATCCTCTCTAATGATCAACACTGCCTTCACCTAAGGAACTGTTCTGCTCCTTCAGACTCCCTTTAATCCCCTCACTTGAAGCAGCCCCGTTCGTCAAATTAGGCTGGAGGACAGAAGATGCCTTGTCTGAACCTGGCTTAATCCCTACACAATTTGGGTCACACGGCCTTTTATCAATAAGCACTTGGTTGTTGTCAAACCAGCAGGAAGCAGAGCAGCAGGGCCAGGCTTTCTGCAGGAGCCAGGCTGTGCCTGGCTTGCTGCTGCCCTCTTCTGCCTGGGAAGCTGCCGCGGCCAGGCCAAGCCCGCATCCCGCCAGCACCGCCCCGGGGCCAGGGCAAGTGCAGGCTGCCGTGCCTTCCCACCCCGCACATCCCTGAGCCCTGACTCAGGCCAGACGCTCACTGCTGCCCACACACATTTCTACTCGAGTCCCTGGGGAAAATGCTTTTCTACATCCGTAAGAAAATGGAGAGCCAGACTGTTGCCAGCAGCGCCCACTGATGGGACAAGAGACAATAGGCACCAAGTGATTAATGGGTCCGTCTGAACAGAAGAAAACAATTCTCTTTTTCCTATGAGGGTGGTCAAACACTGGCACAGGTTGCCCAGGGAAATTGTGGAGCCTGCTTCCATGGAGATGTTCAAAACCCACTGGGACAGTCCTCTCTCATTGGCCCTAAGGGGGTTGGACTGGATGATCTCAAGGTGTCTCTTTCAAACGAAATGATTCTGTGACTACATTAGGCATTATACGATAATATAAAGTATTATACAAAAGCAGATATTGCTGAAAACCTTTCATGAAATAAGTAAAACCATCAACTGTAAATGTTTGCAGGTTAATCCAAAGGCTCTTCTGTCCTGCCCATCACAGAACAAACAAACACACCTTTTTTACAACTCCTGTAGTGGCCACGATGGTCTCTGCTCCTTCTACAGTCTTGTTTGCCACTGTGTTCACACTGGCTACTACAGCTTCTCCCACCACGTTGGCCTGCTCTTTGGTCTTCTCAGCAACTGCAGTTTCAACAAAAGCAGAAAAGTCAGCAAACTAGACACTGCCAGAAGGCTGCCAAATTCCCTGGGACGCAAAATGATTGCATTGAAGTAAAAGAAGAAATTAGCCCTGATGCAGTCCTTGTTTGGGTATTTTAGATGAGATCACGTCTGAATTTAGATTGTGTATTTGAGGATTTTTGTCTGGCACAAAATGTTGCTTAGAGAGCAGCACTGCAGCCTGTCAGTCTTTGTGGGCAACCAGAGAATGAAAATTTCACTGTCAGATACTAAGAGACAACAGTGTAAGTAAGGTATTTTGCATTGCAGACTGTGCATGACCTCTTCCAGGTTACTTTCTGTTTGATTTAATACCCCTTGCCAAAAAACAGCAATAGTTATTAAATTCTCCAGGCAAAGGATCCATTTATCTTCCTTCAGGACAGTCCACATGGCTGCTCCTCCTTGGAGTTGGGGTTACCCCAGAAGGGACCTTTATGTCCCTGACTCTGCAACTGCCAGACAGGACCCTCCCAAAGACCACAGTTTTGGCCAGACAGGATCTGATGCAAGTAAATCCTCTCCGTGTGCTGGGCTGTGCACCTGACATTGTGAAATGTCTAAATAGCTGTGAATCATCCCAGTCTGCCAAGTAACCTGTGTTAGATTTTTTCTGACCTACTCTACTGATTAAATATTTTCTCTGACCTGAGTCCACTGCAAATGCCAGACCCTGAACCATCACTCCTGGCATGCAGCCTCTACTCATCAGTGGGAAAGTCAGGCAGATCAGTGGTGTCCCACAGAGACCTCCCACTTGGCAGGGGTGACAGCCTTCCCAAGAGGTCCAACAACCACCACACACTTCCACACCCCTCTCGGGCTCTGCTCTTACCTGAGGTCACACTTTGCACTACACCCTCCTTGGTCTTGGTGCCTGTGAAAGGAAACACAATCCATCAGTGCTGCCTGGAAATTACACCCTGCCTTCTGGACACAGATGGTTTCCTGCTCTCAGGAAGTGCAGTGGGAAGCCAAGGTGCTGCTGGTACTTACTGCTGAGACACAAACCATTTGTGAGTCAGAAAAGAGACCAGCTTCCCTCCCCAGTAAAGCCAATGAGTATCTTTGTGTTGAGAGTTGGAGAGCTTCAACAGCAAATTCTCTGGAGATGCTTAGACCTGAAAAATCTTGATTATAAAAAATTGTTCCTGCAATATTTCCAAAATGAGCAGTTGAGTAGTGGTAAATCAACTTTAAGCTACTTGTAAAAGTGACTGTAAATAAAATCACCTGGCAACATCTCACTCTTGCAAGACAAGAAGTCACATCCATTAATCTCCCCTGCCTTTCAGCAGGATACTTGGCTGCACTGGTCATTTAAAGTCTCATTCTATACCACTAATAAAGACTCTGGAGAAACCTGAAACTGAATTTACAGAACCACCACCTACCTCCTACATACCTACTTACTGGATTCCCTGTTTGGTGCCTCAGCCTAGGCTGCAAGTGCCTGCTCCCAGCAATGCACAGAAAACAGATGGTTTTATCTCAAATTATGAAAATACACCATATGTGTGCTTACATTGTAATTTATCTCACTGTTCTCAATGCAGAAAAGCTAACAGGATGTGAAGGCATTCAGTTTGCAACACAAATAGCCCTGAGGAATAATTAATCTCTGTGATTTTCCTCCATGCTTGAAGTGACAAGCTATATATCCTTTGTACTTGATATTGCTGCAGATAAGTTAAATCATATGGCACATGGGCAGCCCCCATGGTAATTAGGTGCTTTACACATTAAAAAAAATAAGGAATCAAATTTATCTCTCCTGGAAGTTAAATAAACACAAGCCAAAATATTCCACTGGTCCCACTTTACTGTATATTGTAGCTTCTCTTCAGGTTTCCCATACTGATAGAACAGAAGGATTTCTATGGCCAACTATCAAAATGATAAAAATGGACAACAACCAGGCAGATTTTTGACTCCATGATAATGGAGCATCCACAGGTGGGGTGGGAGAAACCAGTTACAAACCACAGCTCATTTTCATTAACAACAGCCTGAGAAGCAAAACAGGTGCAGTGCCCTGATAACAACAGCCCAGCTCAGTGCTGTTTTGCCTGATACATGCTATACATTATTGAATGTAATTCTCAATTGTTGATTTATTTTGGTGGTTGCAACCCCTGCCTGGGGCAGAACAAAACTGTTCTACTACAATATGCCCTCAACATTTCATTCCACCCTTCCAAATGGTCTAAAAAGTCAAGAAATGAAATCTTTGTACCTTTAATTTGTCACTGCTGTAAGCTGAGTTCCTAGTGATGCACATGACACGTGCGCTGCTGTGAACTGGATTTAATGATGGTGCCCACAATACACAAACGTGCAGAAGCACAGCACTGAGCACAGCAGGTGCAAGTCTCAAGGCATGAATGTGAGCCCCTGAATGGGCCAAACACACAAGGTTCAATTCAGACACCGTCCTGCTTCGTTTTCCCTCCCAGCAGCACTCCAAGAAAAGACTGCCACAATATTGATTTGACATACACGGTTGTCTCATACCAGACTCAGATCCTCAAGATTAGCCCTTTGCTGGTTTTTGGTCAAACAGCAGCTGATAGGTAAGCACAGTACATGATTTGCTGTACCAGCCTTTCATGCCTTTGCAGTTTTGTAGTAAACACACTTAGTGAGACAAGAGCTGCAGTTTTGTATGTTTTTTGCCAGACTTTTAAGGTGACTATCTGGGCTCAATTCTTTTACGGGGAAGAGGAGTGAGCAGATGCTGTATGTGTGGATGGAAATTAATTGCAGAAAGGAGGGATGCAGCTAGAAGGAAAACATCTGAATCCATTTCATGGCAGAAGCAATGTCATTGGGAAGTCACTGCCGCAGCCTGGGGAGAGCTCGCCTCATCCTCCCGGCCCAGCCACGCCCGATGACTCAGGCTCCCATCCATTATGCACCGCATGAAACCCGACCGGCCTTCCGAGCGCTCCTGCCAGCAGCCCGCATCTGTTGAATCAGAAAGCAATCACCTGATGCTCAATCTCATTTCACTCATTAGTCCTTGCCTGCAGCTTGCGTACCCAGAATTTAAAGTTCATGCATCCTGCCTCTTCTGAGTGCTGTGAGTCATCTGCAAGTGCTTTGGGACCGCCAGGGTGTGACCGAGGTGGTGGGGTGCTATGCCCTGGGAGAAGGTCTAGAGCAGAGAGGGATAGTTTGATGTGCATGAAATCCTGCAGGAATCATTCAGTTTAAACATAGCTTGGGGTGTTGAGGCTTTCTGCAACACACACAGTTGAAAATCCTTCTGGAAAATTACAAGTGCATTTTTTGCTGAGGCTTCCTGACCTATAGCGCGAAACAGTGCTAATGACTCAATACTCTGGTGCAACTTTGCATTAAATTCATTAATTAACTTCAGCATCACTTACACCCCTATTCAAACCAAATTAAAAAACAGAGCCCACTGAACCATCTGCTGGGTCTGCACTAACCATGGCAGGGATCTCCTGACACCTTGGCACACTCAGAGGCTGTTGGAATTTGGAGAGCAGACGGTGATTTCACCAAGCACAGAGGCCACCCATGATACAGGATTCCTCCCTCTCCTTTCCTGCACTCTCTTCTCTACCCCGTGGGTTCAGCAAGGGCGGGGGCACCGCATTGCAAGCTTAGCACAGGAGGGAGGCATCAGCCTGGCATGGGCTGTGGGAGCTGAACGTGGAAGGATCAGAGAGGGGACGAGGTGGCCACAGTGTCCCAGTGGCGCTGTTCACTCCAGACAGATGCCTCTGAGTGAGCATTTTATTATTTTCTTCTCCTGAGCAGCAGCAAGTGACTCACCAGACGTGGTGGTTGTGCCCAGACATTTGGAATCCTCCTCAGAGAATCAGCAATGAGTTAACACAAACCTGAGTAAAAGTCAGGGATCCACTTCATCCATCCTAGGCCCTGGGGATTTTGTTCTCTTTCCTGAAGTTCTCAAAAGACCCTTGAGGTTCAATACAGTATTATTCTCTCCTAGCATCCAAAAATGCAAGTGTCATCACCTAATGCTCTAGATGAAGCTGCTGGGATAGGGCTCTGCAAGGGAAGAAGCAAGGAAGGAACAGTTCAGGTCTCTGATTTACTGTTCATGGGCACAGAGTGACAAAAGGCAGCGTGAACAATAGACTAATCACTCCAGTTTTAACCAATATACCACACCTCCACCTTCTCTGGCTATTAAAACAAACCCCCCCATTTTCTGAGCTAATTAGCATCTGGTCTTTATTTTTCCTGCCTGTGAAAGACTGAATTTTCCCTAAAGGGCTGAGCTTCCCAACAGGAACTGAATCAGACCAAGGCAAAGCTCTGACTGGTGCGTGACAGGGCAGGAACCAGCAGTATACCAACAAACCAAACCAATAAAAGGAGAAAGCACTTAATCCTCACCTTGATCCTTATTTGATCCTCATTCAGAGATTAAGGTTTCAAGGATCTTAGTTTCAGGCTCATAGAAAACTTTATTGAAAATATTACAATCTCCTAAAGAGACCTCTTGGCTCAACAACAAAAACCAGGTCACAGTATGGAGCTGTACAACGTGACTGAAAAGAGATGTGAGAAATTATGTATAAAAACTCTGAATAACCCCAGCACAGTTCAGATCTGGAAGCAGGTGCCACAATGTGACACCCACATATGATATTTCTTAGACTGGTGTTTCACTTGCTGTAGTTAGTTTTGTTGTTTACAGGAATACTGCTTACCTTTTTTTCTTGTGAGTCAGCTTCAAACTGAAGTGTGAACAGTTACATCCATTCATTTCCAGCATGTCAATAATTAAGTATTTAAGAATTCAAGATAAAAACATGATCAGACCTGCTACATACAAATTTTGTATTTAATTTGTAACATACAAATATATATCTGCAGCTATTGGCAATAGAGCAGTTTTAAATATAGTAGCTAAGTACAGCTGTGGATGCCACAGTAGGATGGCAGGAAGAGCCTGCATGTAAACTTTCCTACAAAAAGAAACACTCCCACATCCAGCAAAAATAAAGAGCTGTGTGAAATGCAGTAATCAGCAGTGAGATAATCAGTCTTGGGAACCTAAGACTCTTTAGTTTGTATTATATGGAGTATCTGACCATCCAGCCATATAATTGCATGTGCTAGATAAGTGGAGATAGTGGGTTTCAAGGGTGACCTTGAAAGGGGAGGTTTCAGCCCATTAACTGTGAAAGAGGTCTCTAGGCAGGACATCAGGCACACTGTTTTCCAGATCCTATTCTTTGGGCAAAAGGAATTTGGGCGTTTCTTGTAAAGCAAGATTAATGTGTGCATGGGCAACGAAAGAGGTCGGTGAACAGGAGAAGGATTCAGGACAAACCCATTTGTTTGTGGGGAAACAGATGCATCCTGCAATCCCCTCACACTAACACTGTTGGCTCCTCTCAGGGACCTCCTCAGTGAGTCCCTCCCAGCGTGGAGGTGAGGCAGAGACTGGCACGGCTCCTTTGCCTGGAGAGTGCCTGACTCACCCTGCAAACAATCACTGAACAGTCAAACAAACCTTTCACCTGGGCACCTGCTCCTTAACATCATTCTGTCTTCCCTGGAGTCATGGTTTGTATGTCTAACTTACAGCTGGGGAAACTGAGGCATGGGGAGGCTGTTGTGCCCCAGGTTTACACAACAATTCTGCTGAGCTCAGGGTCTTATCCAGACTATCCTGCTAGTCACTCCCAAGCTTCAGCCACAATATCATTTTCCCAGAGTTTCTCAGAGACAATCTATGCAGCTTTTCATGCTCAAAAGTAGATCAAAACTAGTTCTCTCTTACCTACATACATTACCCCTTCTTTGGTCTTCTCTGCAGCCTCTGTCACTCCCTGCTTGGTCTTTTCTGCAGCAGCCACCACACCTTCTTTAGCAATGGAGAAACCTTTCTTAAAGACATCCATTCTTGTTGCTTGTTAGGGTATTATCTGGGATGATCGGAATGAGAGAGCAAAAGCAGCAAAAAGCACCTCAAGGCTGGGACTGCGAGATGCAGCCTTACCCTCGGCAGATCTCAGCTTCTCTGGCAGGCTCTGCCTTTGCTCTTCCTCCTGTGCTGGATGAAGGCAGTGTGGCAGAGCTCACAGCCTCGCTGGCTCTTATTGATGAAGTGTGCTGCAGTGTAGCCAATGCCCGTGCACAGCTGATACTGAAATATTAATGATACGGATCTGCTTGGGAGCTTTAACAAGGGAGGGGGAGAGGAGGACGATGACAGCGGTAGGTAAGGAACTGTCTGGAGAATTTCCAGACAGAGAGAGCTTTTAAAATGTGCTGCAATGCTCTCAGAGAAGGATGGTCTCGGTGAAGAGGGAGACTTTAGCAGAAGAGCTGAGTTCCTGAAAGGGCATCTCCCCGAGGCTGCAGCAGGAGCCAAACACCAGGAGCTCTCCTGGGCCTCAGAGGTGGAGAGCACCGAATGCTGACAGCAAACAAACAGGGTCGAGGTTTCTTGGTCTGGCAGTTACCAGAACCCAGCCTGCACAAATGGTAACAAGAACATTATTTCTAGTAAATCCTGAGAAAAAGGGAACCAGCTACGGCCTGGTGCTCAGGTGAAGCGAGCTTGAGGTCCCACCTGCTATGTTTTGTCAAGTGTGAAGTCATGCTGTATAAATTGTGGGGTTTGCTCAGCTGCATATCCCATTACAACAGTTCATTTCTGAAAAATCAGACGCCTGTTGGGGGAAATCCTGTTTCCTATTTGTTTCTCTGAGTTGCTGTAGACAGAGCCCTGCTCTGCCACCGCAGAGTGAGACGACATCTCACACCAAACACCATCCCTCACGTCAGAGCCAGTGCTGCAGAGCACAGCGGGGTCAGAACAGCCAGCACAGACCTGGCTGGGGAAATCTTACAGAGGATCCATCCAGCCTCAAGGCCTGGCTAGGAAAAAAATACCAAAACATGATCATTAATCACAGTTGGATATCCTAATGTACTTGCAGTTAAACTCAAGTTAAAGTGTTTTCTGAAGTAGATCCTAAGTGGCCTAAATCTGTTATTTCCCCAACAACAAAATGAAGTTCAGTGCTAGCTGTGAAAGCAATTGGCGGTGCAGCAAGGTGATTTTTTATTTATTTTTTTTAATAGTGCCAGATGTGAAACTATGGAAGCCACATTGCATCAGCCTTTGAGGCCAAAGCATGACCTGCTTTGGGTGTTTTTCTGTACCAAGCAAACAGAATATGAAATTCAGAGGCTGAATTACATTTTGGAAAGATAGCCCACTACAACATCATGAAGTGCAATGGTCTGCAAGCCACTGCTGACACAATTTATCAGCCTGGAGTGTCAGATGGGCAATGACTATACAGAAAAAAGTCTGAGCAAAAAATGTTGTATCTGTAGGTACATGCAGACATGGACACAAACAGTTCTTACTCTGGAACTAAGACTAATTCTTCAGTTTTTGGAAGTGTTTTTCTTCCCTCATACTGAAATTATTGAAAAGCTGTTGATCTGGGAAATAACATATACAGTTCTTAATCCTTTTCTCACAAATAAGTCTCCTTACTTATAAATGAAGAACAAATTTCCATCTGAACATAAAGGAGCCAAATCTCTGTCAGACTAATGAATTTATCAATTGTTAATTTAAAAAAGTGCAGGAATCAGAGGAAGGCCAGCACAGCATACCAATTATTATAGGAGCTCACATAGTTCCAGAATGCTGCAGCAAGAAGTGGAAAAGGTTTTTTTACCATCTGTCAAAATTCCCCCTAGGTGGTTGTTGCTATGGCTGGCGCTCCTTCCTGCTCCCAAGGTGCTCTCAGATTGAAGATATCTGCACCTTACTGTGCCATACAACAGAGGTTCAACCTTGCTGCTCCTGGAGCCAGTCACAAAACTGCCATTGATTTCACCAGGCACAGGCAAGAGTCTTGTTTTAACTATATTTATTTTAAAAAAAGAATTTACCACCTTTGGGAATTGCTCCAGGGCCTATTTACTTTTTCACCATACTTTCAAAAAGTAGACATTAAAGCAGACATTCCCAGGGTTATGAGTTTTGCTGGTATTGTCAGGAGAACACCAAGGCTGATAAGGCTGAGTGGGAAGGGTATCGTGATTTTGTTCAGCTATTGTTCTGTCATTGTGATTTGTACAATTCAATTTTACGTATTTTGCATTGCTATAAAAGGTAATAAATACATGAAATATCAAGCCATCCTGGGATGTGAAACATGAATCACCACCAGATTGAATTAGCCAATACTCAAGTGGGATACTCCTTTCCTGCCTTCTCCTGTCCCAATGACCTTGGAAAGGGCTCACAAGTCATATTTCAATGCTGTTGGATCCCTCCCAAGCAGCAGGCAGTTTGCACAGGCATTGTTTTACCTTGAAACCTTTTTAGGAAAGCTCTGAACTCGAGACAACATTGTAGGCAATCTATACAGGGCAAGCATCCACATTGGCTCCTCAATGTTTGCCACCTCCAGGTGACTGCAGGATCCTTCCACTCAAAGCAGAGGATCCAGGCCCAGTTTTTTGCCAATCCTACCTCAGACAAAACTAACAACAAGAGTTAACACAAACTACCTTGGCTTTAAGATTTTGCTAGGGACTTAACTTTCTGCTTGGTAAGGTTTCCCCCTTTGTATCAGGTAAGACATCAGCAGAGAAAGGCCTCCAGCAGGCAATTCAGAGACCCCAAGTTCCTGTCTCACCTGGCAAAACCTCTTTTTCTCTGTTTTCTGCCTTGCAACACTAGGAGAAGCCAGTTAAGCTACATCAATGTAAACAAATCTCTAACTCAAAAACATTTGGCTGATCTGCATAATACCAAAAGAAATCCTTGTTTTGACTCGGGCAAACCACCCGACAAACCACCCACTTGCTGTTCATTTAAAGTTTGAATTCTGGCTGCTCAGACTTGGTTATCGAGCCTCTTGCTGGATAACAGCAGAGTTTCTTGAAACTTCCCCTGAAAGGAGCAGTTTCCCATCTCTCATGTGTCTCCACCTGTCCCTGGGTGTTGGTGGCTGACACCTGGAAGGAAGCAGGTCTGTGCAACATCTGCCAGCAGTTCTGGAACATGGGCAAGGAATTCTACCTCAAGTCTACCTACTCCCAAAGCACTGATCCAAGGCAAAGTAAAGAATGCAAAGCAGAAATCAACATTCCCTGTCCTCTACTGTCTTTTTTTTTTTTTTTGAGCCTGCAACAGATTAAACAGGATTTTACTTAATTTGGCTCTCTTCCTTGAATTTTCCCAGTTGGAAGCTACTCCATCCACAAACGTTTAAGCTTGTCCTTTAACAATGAACTTATGCTGGAAGCTAACAGCTGACAAAGTAATTTTGCTGGATGAAAGAAATGTCATTTGGTCATATTCTATTAAAGTACTTAAATTGTATATGATGTTGTTTGAAGGACAGGTGAGGAAAGGAAAGACAGACTGCTTTTGTGGCTGGTAAATATCCTTTGTTGAGGAAGTTATTTTATGGAGAATAATATTAACATTAACAGGATCCAACCTTGCTATATATAAACAGAAATCCTTCCTCTCTGTCTCCATTTATGAAAACTTCAAAATGCAGAAAGGAGAACTGACACAGATCTGTCATTTCCATGCCCTAACAAAAACAAGCAGTTGTCTGACATCCTATGGCAAACAGTTTAGGACTTGAATCCCTGCATGTATGTTTGCATAGGTAATGAGCTAATTTCCTTAGCCAGGGAATGAATAAGCCAGGGCCAAGCCATTTTCCAGGAACACACAGAGGGATGAGCCACATGCAGAGCACAGAGTGCTGCCAGTACAGCGATCTTCCGTGACTGATCTCTGCTGTCAAATACCACTGAGAGCTTTTGAGCAAACCATTAAAAATACAGGCAGCAAGAATTCATCTTCTCCCTCTGATGGACACACCAGCAAAAGGAATTGCTCTGTAGCCCTGCAGTCCCCTCCTGACACTCTTCTCCCCGTGCTCTCTTCCTCCAGAGCAGCCGCACACGCATGAGCGCGCATTGGCAGCAGGCAAGGGATGAGACAGCATTTTCCAGATCTAAATCCCAGTGCCTAATGAGAAGTTATCCCCTTGCTGTGCAGCTATCAACAAAACTGTCTTCCCAGACATAAAATCTTTTCAGTTATCCAGTCTGCTTCAGAGATTGGGCACTGGGATATAAGAATCTAAAACAACACCTGCTTTCCATCTTTTCTTGGCTTTTTAAACATTTTTTCAAGGATTTTTTTTTCCTTTTAAATACACAAATTTATAACTTAAGTCTGTAATTAAGAGCTTTACATCTCAGCTCTTACACCACCTAAGAGTAGGTAGTGAATCTGGAAAGACAGAAAATAAACAAATTTATCAGATTCTATTTAGTGAAAACTGAATTTCTAAGGGCTGTTTCTCCAGAGACATGCTGACTGGAACAGCCAGAGTGTTTTCTTCCCAAGTACAGCCAAGCCATTTATCAGACAGGCCATTGATCAAACACATTGTTTGGCACTGTTTACTCCAAGCTTGCCCACCTCCCACCCATCTGCAGCTGCAAGGCTCTGACCCTAAACAAAAGGAAAGGGGCCAAGATGAGATTTTGTACCTTAAGCAGATTTCCCAGGAGATGGTGCTGGCATCTGATGACTTGGTTGTGGAATTGCAAACAGGACACTGAATTCTTAGGGAGGGCAATACCGGGGGGGTTAAGAGCTGTGTTTAATGGAAGTGGTTAGAATTACCAGACAAGGCAAGAGCACTCCTGACACTTACTGGCAAGATCGCAGGGCATAAGTGATTGATCCAGTGTAACTGGCAATATCAACTCTTTAAAGGCTAGCTTGAAGTCTGAAGAAGTTTGCACACTTTGAGGAACTGCTTCCTAGAAATACTTGGAGAACAAGCATTTCCATGAATAAGACCACAGGGGGAAAAAGTCACTAGTGACTGGGGATGAGGAGTGGAGGAACAGCATCTTTTGGCTAGCTGTTCTTAGAACCACTAAAACCTTGTGAGAACCACCAGGACACCTCCAAAGATCCCCACACCACTATTAGTATAACAGCCCTTACTGAATGGGTTTTGAGGACACTTTTGGAGTAACACTTCACTGTAACACTTCACTATAACACTTCACAATACCACCTTCCAAATAATGTTCCAAACTATCTTTTAAATTGATTTAACTCACCCATGTTTTCATTAGCTGTGTAAGGTACGCCTACACCAAAACAAGGCAACTGAAGAGTGACTAAATATCTACTGATGTTAGTTAGGGCACAGATGTGTTTCTCATCTAGAAAGTACCTCCTAGAAGACACTCACCTAAAAAGCAAGGAGCAGGTTGTTATAGCAAATATATGTCTGTTTTCCCTGGTTCCATGCTGAGGCAACAGCTCACATAAACAAAAACAAACAAACAAACCCCACAAAACATGTATCTCATTCCTGAGTAGGTACACTCCTCATACCCATTCCTCCACAGGTATAAAAGAAAACTTAGAGCTCATTCTGCCAGCAAATCTGATGTTTTGAACCAACAGTATAACCTGAATGTGTTATTCAGGTACCACAAATTATAACAGCTGTTACACAAAAATCTCAACTACCGTTCAGTAAGGAAGTTCCTTTGAAAAATGAATGCCTTTCTTAAGTTCATGGCAGCATCCTATGCTATGCCTACCACAAGGAAAGGGACTTCATCCCTTACCTTGCTCCATATTTAGCATCTTTCATAACCACTACCAAAAAACCATTGTGCTGAATTATTAACCTTCAAATCTGTGCCTGCTGCACCCACAGGGCAGCACCATTACAAAGATACAGAGAACAGGTCCTTGCACCTGGACGGGTAGCAGATGCTCTGAGCCAGGAGGATGGCAGAGAACCACTGTCCCATCACTTGGGAGGGATCACATCCATGAAGGATGACTTCAACTCCTGCAGCACCAAGTCACTTCTCTGCAAGCCAGGATCTCACTGCAGGTCAGGCTATAACTCTGTTGCTTGTTTTGTCTCATGTTTGCTTCAGTTCCTTCCTGATAATGGTCCCAATACGTAAACAAATATAATGCTTAGGTCACATCCAGTTACTTGTGAGAAAAGCACATCTCTATGTGAAACATGGCACATGAAATATTCACACATTGACATGTGTTACAGCAGGATGCACACAATTTGGAAATAAAAGCAGCAGGAAGGAACAGAGGGAAGTTGCTCTAAGTTTTTTTCAGTCTTCAGTCCAGACCTTGTGATTTCATCTTCCTGGAGAAGTGACTGCTACAGCAAGAACAGGTTTTCCTTAGAATTAGCAAAATCTCTCCCTGCCTGGCCCCATATATTGCTGTCACTGCTCTCAAGCAGCAGTTCCTACCACAGGTCAGGAAGGGCACTTCTGTGGTTCTCTATGTTCTTCCATTAAGCATAAAATAGGGGCATCAGGAGAGGGGTGCAAATCCAGCCAGTGATAAAAAGATGCAAATTCACAGTCTCGAATAACAAGGCCTTCTAAAATCCTGGAGAGATTTTTCCTCTATTTTTAGGTGGTATTGGAACAAATCCATAAAAGCTTTACATTTAATGCTCTGCAAGACATACTGAACCATGGCTGATCATCTCATCATTCATACTGCAAGATGATCTAGCAGTCCTGCATTCCCATTTCTTTTTTCAGTTGGAGCATCATTCTACTTCACTTTATTCTTTAAAATGCCAGAGCACGTCACCTTGCAAGACAGAAAGAAGAAACACAATTAATGAAAGCAACAAAACTAAAAGCAGCACCACCAGCAAAGCAAAATCAGTAAGAAAACTACATGCAACCTCCACAGCCTTTTAAAAAAAAAATATTATTAGAATGTGGTGACAGAGGTAGCTCTTGACAGCAGCTCTTGACTAGTGGCTTTTCCTTTAATGCTAATTTAAAATTAAAAAAAAAAATTAAGCCTGACACCCAGTGATGACAACCCAAACAGAAATTCTTAAAAATTAACCTGATCTCTCTGAAGGACAAGTTCATGAAAATATTCCATTTTGATGGAAACAGACTATGATTCACAGAGCTATTTTGCAAAGGTTGAAGAAGAATGGATGATTGTAGGCTCTTTTTTACTGTACATTTGCTCTGTGTCCCTCAATACCCACAATTTGTTCTACATACCACAAATACCCTGCTGCTAAAGCCAAGGTATTTCAGCCTTTAAACCATAGGAAAAATTTCCATGTGCAGCACTGGACCAGGCAGGTCTGTGACATTTTCTGGCAGTGTAATGAGAGTCTGTTAGAGCACTCAGTATTTTCTTTCCTTTCTTTTCTCTTCCTTTCCTTTAAGCTAACATCCTTTTCCTGTGCCTGAGGGAGAAGGCAGTTGATAAAAGCCAAGTTCCTGTTCACAGATAAGTTTAGAAGGCAGGCAAGCTCAGAAGTTCCTTGAATAAGCTATATTCCTACCACCTCATTTTCCCCCCTGTCAGAGACGTGTGAGCCCCACACAGGAACCAGGCTCACATTGTTCAACAGCCACGGACGTTTCCACAGTGGCTGGGAGGGCCAAGAGCTCTTTCCGCTCTTTGTTACAAATTTTTTTTTAATTTTTTCCTTCCTTCTTCCAACTTTCCAGTTAAAGAATATTGCTGGGGCATTTCTGAAGTAATTCAGGCTGAGCTTCAGAGGAAAGAAGAAGAGACAGGTGTAAGTGGGGGGGAAGAAGGCCAGGATGCTGGTGAAGCTTTTGCTGGTCTGTAGCGCGGTAGGACTGGCAAGGCTGGCGGAACACGCAGACCATCACGGAGATCGTGATGGTTCCGAGCAGAGCTTCAAGCCACGAGTGCATGAGAGCTCTGCACACCCCCAGAGAGCTCCTCTGCCACTCCAAGAAGGTTACTGGGAGACAGAACGGCTCAGGGAGGACACTCGAGATTACCCTTCAAGTGTGATCTCCTCACATCAGGAAGAGAGAGAGGATTTGGAAGCTGCGAGCCCACGGCCCCGAAACGGGTAAGTACCCAGCATGTCTGTTTTACACATACTAGGAGTGCAATCCTCTCTGATACTTTTATATTCTGTTGGTACAGGGCTGTTTTCATTAGAAGCTTCTCATAAAATACATTAGATTTTAGGGGCCAATCTATATCCAAACAAGAGTGGTTTAAATGCTTGAACTCCACAAACAGAAAGCTGAATTGCCTGTGGAAGATGAAACCACAGATGAGACCAGCTCTTTGCTTAATCTGGGATTAGGCGTGTGCACACACCCAGCAGAGGTGAAGCTTCCCAGTTCTGCCAGAAACCAAAACACTACCTCTGGCAAAGGAGAACTAGAGGAAGTCAATTTACTGACTGTTTCTTATCATGAACCAATGCTGATTATTTCTGCTGAGCATGGCAAACTTTGCCCATTAGCAGAATGTGCCTGCCTGCAGACTTGGGCCTTGGAAATGGAGAGAGAAAGGTAATGGCAGGATGTTAGCAAAATAAAAATAGTGAGGAGTAAATATAACAAGGTAAGGAATAATGAATAAGCATGAAAATTACTACAAATTTCACACCCCCACCCCCTTCCAAAGATTTCCATGCCAGCAAAATTATTTTCATGGTAATCTGTAGCAGAAGAGCAGCCATTCTGAGAGTAAAAGGCATGTACTTCACTAGAAATATTCCCAAACCCTATGATTTGTGTAAGTTTTACAGGGCACGTAAGTAGGTCTCTAAATGTTTAAAATAGATGAAAACCAAGCAGGACAGTGAATGAATCTTTTATAGCCTTGATGGATGGGTACAGCAGAGCCCTGTTCAGGAGAGCTGAAACAGCAGCACACTTAGTGCTGTTCACAGCTCAGTGCTTTAGGATGCCCTGGTATTTTTCCCTTTAAATGCTCTTGAGGAAAGGTAAAAAGTGAGACGGAAAGAGACTATAAAACCTTCCTCATGCCATGCTTCCCTTTCACGCAAACTGAAGTATGCGATCTTGTTTCTAACCTCATCTACATGTAAAATTAAGGCCTCCCTTCTGAGTGTAACATGGTGAGTGCATGAAAACCTTGCTGTCTTTCACAATACACCTTCCCAAAAATCTGTACGTCCCCCCAATAGCCCCAAGGCACTTCCTAAAGCCTGCAAGGCTTCCTGATGGGTAGTGTTTGATAATGATGTGCTCTGTTAACTGACCAACTCCTGGTAAATGCAGTTCATGGTCAAAGGAAGGAAACAAGGCCCAAGGGGCACTCTGGGCTTCCAAATTACTCTGCAAGGTGATAATCATCTGACTGTGGTTGAAATGCTGAAAACATTCTGAAAACTCCCAGTACTATGAAGATTCAGTGCTGTGAAAAGGTCAGCATTACAGGTCAGCAAGATGCTGCAATATACTGTCCTAATCAGGATTTCTTCCTTGCCTCTGTAGCTCTGTTCAGCACCAGCTTGTCTAATTCAGCTCAATACCAGCTATGACTCATCCTAATTTCCTCCCAAGGACAGAAATACTTCCTTCTTTTATGGAGATAGTTGGATAATGAGTCAAATCATAACATTCTTCCCAATTATGAAGCTATGTGGATGACTACAGACAATTCAAATCCAGTCTGGCAGTAGCTTTAAGGTATTTGCTGTTTTGTAGAGCTGTCACACTTACAGTACACACAAGGCCAGGCAGCTGCTAGGTCTTAGGAAAGAAATTGAAGACTTTGAGAGGAATTATACCTAAAAGTAAAGGGAGAGAGGATGAGTAAGAAGGGACAACACAATTCTTTTTGTAACCACAGAACAAATTCCAAAATGGTTGAAACAACACACCTTCAGAGCATGAAGTCCTCTCGTGCCTGTCAGCTGCTGTGGCTGTAGTACCATGCCAGGCACAGTTAAGATGTTGTCATGAATCTGGTATTTCCTCCCTACAAGTGTGACACATTCCCTGGAAAAAAGCCATCATCAAAAAATTTGGTTTATATCTCTCAGGAGGAGAACAATAAGAAAGGCATCAGGAGTTAAATAGGAGTTGAGAGATAGAGGGAAAGAAAGACATGCCATAAAAAGGTGTGACAGACATGCCAAAAAAAAGGTCCAGGATGGTGGAGAATAGTTTTCTACCGAAATGATGTCTTACATCTAGTTTGCTTTTGAAATAAGAAAATACGTTTTTTGCAGAACTAGGAAACAAATAGTCTGTAGTAACTTGGTCTTTGTGACAATGCTTTGACTCTCATTACTTAAAAAAAATAAAAGCAATATGTGTTTTGTTCAACCATTTCTTATTTTCCCTTTGTATTAGGAATAGTGGTAGTTACAAAATATTCTTACATTTTAAAGAAATGTAGAGCATCATTTTCCATATTGCAGTTATTTGAATAATTGAGACCATCATGACTAAGTACTACAAGGTATTAATCAGAATCCTCTGGTTTCTGTTTCAACATGTGAGATGAAATGACTCATTAGATCCCAGTCAAATACTTGGATATGTTATTTTGCTAATTCCTCTAAGAACAATAAGATTTCTCATGAAAGAGCTTTAAAATATAAATCAGTAAGAAGTATCTCAGCTGTTGCTTCTACCTGAACAAACAGAAGAAGCTCTGCATGTTCAACTGGACAGGTGTCTGTATGTGTACAAAATCAAAACTATCAAAGTTTCCAAAGGAAATCAAGTTTTATATTGCCTTTCTCCCCAGCAGCTGTGTGGTTTGACTTCAGCTATTTTATTCTACTGCTGAGGTAAATGGATCCACACGTACCCAAAACTTTCAGCAGAATTAAAAAGGGAAATCAAGGGACCTGTACATCAGGAACAGTCAGGCTCACAACTCAGATTTCATGCACTTAGTGCTGTATTTCATTAAAGAAACCAAGACAAATGAAGCATGTAAAAGGCACATGCAGCTCCAACAGCAAAGCCCAAAGCTGCCTGCACCCTCAGTTAGCCTGACCTGTCTGTCAAGCAACACTGTAAACCAGATCCCTTAAGCATTCCAGGCTAAAAATAATCTTAGGAAAAAGCAGAGGTTATTTTTAACCTTCCCCCTCAGTAACTACACTGACAGAGCCAGTTCCCAGGTGGATGGCTCACCCTGTAAGGGAGAAATGGACGGTGGTGCTGGAATAGGAAGGAGAACAGAACTACTTTGGCTTCCCCATCTATCCAAATTCTCACAGAACTTCTGCTTCCAGAAGTGCAATCATTGCCAAGTGGCCCCTGGTCTGGTTTTGCCCTGCAGCTGGGCAGGTTCATTTTTCCTTCTTTCTTTTTAATCCACAAACACACAGTGTCATCTCCTGGGATTTTTTTTACAACATACCCACAAAAAAATGGAAAAACAAAAGTAAAATGTCTCCAAACTCTACCACCTGACCTATTAAACAGGAAATGCAGAAATCTTCAGCTAAAGTATATCCTTAATTTCACTAATATATTTTGAGTTTTGGACACACAATTCTGTGCAGTCACCCTTGATTAGAGGAAGGTTTCCTGATGTCAGCCAGGTGTGTTATCTCTCTCACCTCTTCCTCTCATTCCACATCAAGGAGCCACAAAGAATCAGGTCTGTTCTCGAGACTACGCAGTGTGTCAAAACATGTAACTATCCTCCCAAGTGTACACAAGCAGAGAAAACCCAAATCAAATTATTCTAAGGAAACTCAGTGTTCAATCTTAATAGCTTATTATTTTTTGTCTGCTTTTACAGGAAGAATCCATTAATTTAATTAAGACCAGTTCCACACTGACTCATTTATGTCTTCAAAACAAGGTAGAGACTTTTGTAGGAAGCTTATGGGATACTGAAATTTCTCACCAAAAGGGCACAGAACATACACTTAAAATAAAAGTTTGGATGAAGCACAGCTAAAAGTGATCTTTAGCCCCTGACATCCTGAAAGCCGTGGAACAGCCATTGAGTGCTCAACAATAGCTTTGGCAGTGCCAAGTGCATCAACAGAAGCAAAGCTTCCCTATCAAAGTTTGGCACTTGGCTCCTTTCAGGACTTCAGGAAATTCTCCAATATTTGGCTGTCATTGAATGGCTCAGCTGCAGGTGGAACAGGTCCCCATTGGCCTGCTTGGTGCAAATGACACTGCTCCATTCCACACAGTGCAGGAGTTACTGAACCCTCTGTGCCCACGGGACTGATTTGTTTCACAGCTCATTACTGCAAGCTGCAGCAATTAATTTATTCAGCAGATAGCAAGGGAGCTCCTGTTTCAGCATCATAACCACAGAAGCACTGTCAGTGCTATCACCACCTGGAGCCAACACCTTCCTGCTTGTGCAGTGAACAGTGGGCAGCCCTGAACAAACCTCCCCTGGTGCCCCACACACAGTCAGCACACTGCCTGCACCCTGAGCATGTGCCAGTGGGAACTTGGCTTCCCAAGCAGTTCTGACTCCCTGGCATCAGCACAGGTGTGCCAAAGGGAGCCACTGGCTGCAATTCCTGCCTCCACATGAGGTCTGACAAAGGAGTGATCAGGCTGCACTAGGGGGGAACTTAAGTCTGCAGGAATCAAAGGATAAAATCCAAGTGTAAGCTGCCCTCTCAATGGGCTGCAGAGCTTCCACTGAGGAGGGATAATAGAAATGAGGTAATGGCTGTGGATGCTCTTGAAGAGGAAAATCCTCTTGCATTTACTCCTCTGGAATTGTTCGTACAACAGTTGGATTTGGCTCAAAATCAGTTCCCAGTCAAGCCTGCTGTTCCTTGAACTCTTCCTCCCAGTTCAGGACTGCACTTGCTCTGAAAGTCCTCACTGCATTATGGTTTTAGGATGTCCTGCAGGCCAGCACTACCCCAACTGATTACAGTCTAGCTGTTGGAATACACTCTGCATTCAGCCTGGGTTACTCAGGACTATGGAAGGTTTCCAGCACTGCATGGAAATCACATGTTTGAAACTACCATTGCCACTCTTTTCAGTCCAGTTTGTTAAGATGAACTGCAAAGCAATCTGCTCTCACTCCAGTGAAAACCAGTGTGTTTCACAGGAGGAGACATGGGGAGATCCCAGACCCTGCCTGAGGGGGAGTTCAATTCCCGTTGGGAGTTTTCCTGAGGGAAAGGAGAAATATGAGAGTTTCTGCTGTCTGATTCTAATACAGAGCTGCTGGCTGCCTGGGAAGAGTTGGAGAATTCACTGACAGACCACCAGGCATCACTTGTCTGCCAATTAAAACCCAGTGGAACACCATGCTGCTTTGGAAACCCAGTGCCTTCTCCAACAGTTGACCACTTTCTGTATTTCATAAAATAGAAAAAGATACATCTGTCTCAATACTGACATGCACAGCCTTAGTTTAGATTAACTTAAATGTGGTACTTTATTTCTGTTTATTAAGGCTGCTTCTTCTTGTCAGTGAGAAATTTGCACTGAGGGAAAAACCAACGATAGCTAAAGCCTAATTCTTTTGGCTTCAATTGGCATAAATCAGAAGTAATTCTGTACAACTCAGTGGAAAATCACTTGTTTAAACAGAAATAAAGCCTTCTACTACCTTCCTATAGCACAGTAAGGAGGAATTACTGCTTATCTGGTGCCTTTTTGCTGTATAGGAAAATGTTATGGTCTTGAAAAGTTTTGCACACTGCGAGTAGTAGGCGCAGGCATGGCTAGGCAGGAGTTTTCAAGGTAATTATAGACACTGGCTTCCTTGGGAATGGAAACCTGAGGAAACTGACGGTGAAGGACAACTCAGTTGGACCAGTACAGCCAAAGGAATAACAAAACTTATGAAAAACGTCCCAACATCCTGAATTCCTGAAGCTTTTGTTCAGGAAAAAATTCCACTGATCTAGGACACATCTAAAATTAAGCACTGCAGTGCCAATCAAGAGAACATGTAGCAAAGAGAACTGAAGTGTGTCAGTGCCTCACTGAGCTGGGGAGCATTACTCACACTCACTGGCACACTGCAATTGTCTGTATGAAGGAAAGGCGACCCCACATTCATCTGAGCAGAGTCAATACTGCAGAGCAGCCATCTAAGCTTTTCTCCTGGATCTGTGGGTTTTATTTTGTTTCCTATGATATAAGGTGGCCCAGCCAAATCCTAGAATCAGAGAAAGAACTGCCTCCATTTTGCTATGTTTCAATAGATCCCATGTAAGAAAAAAATAATTTTCGTATCAGTTTCTAAATACCTGAAAGATTCAAATTAAAAGAGCCTGAGCTAACCTACATTTGTTGAATCTTATTTAAATACAGAATGCTTTGTCATCAGATATATTTAACCTCAGACATAAGAATACAGTTGCCTCAGAATTAGGCAGAAGTGAATAGATGCATGTGAAGACTCTATTTAATAAGATTAATTCATAATTAGAATGAAGTCTAGGGGAAAAAAACAAACCACCCAACAAACAACAACACAGGCTAGCAAAGAAAACTATTAAAACACTTTTTCCTGGTTTAAAAAAGCAAGGATTAATTTCTTTACAATGTGAACCAGGAAAAGCTATTGAACAAATGAAACATTTGCAGCCCTGAATTTGCTAGGGTTCCCTCAAGAGCTGCTCTAACTTTCAGCATTGTGATAAATGTTAATGTTCACCAGATTACAGGGAAGGCTTTTCTGCTCTCCTCACATGAGCAGCTTCTCTCTGTCCCTCTCTCTTCCTGGCAGCAGAAGTTTGCACCAAAGAAAATTGCATTAAAGAGAATAAAAGCAGAGGGTGTTAAGTTGGTTACATATTCAGTGAATGAAGTGACATAGTTACAAACAGGAGAATAAATGCAGCAGCAGAACACAAAGCTGCTGTGTTCCAGAAACCAGCTCAAGAAAGAAAGTGCTATTTGTGAAGGAGCAGCTCTTTGAAATTTCACAGCTTGATTCAGAGCCTTTGGAGCCAGAGAAGTCCTGCATGCCTCACTGAACTTTAGATCAAGCCCTTCTCAGTCTTTTACATTGCTGCACTTAACATTAAAGAATGACATAGTTTCCCTCAAGGTTAATCCCGTTGAGGAGTATTTTTAGTTACAGATAGCAAGGTTTCCCTAAAGGAAGCATTTGACAAGTTGTGCAAAAAAATACTGCAATAGAAGTTTCATCTTTGGGCACATGCATCTATTTGGCAGCTCATTCCAGGCCTTATCTACTTACTTGAGGAAAGAATAAACTCTGATAAGTTTTATGGAACTCAAAACCTCTGAAAGTTTTTGTGATTAAAACCACAACATGGTATTACACAGCCCTTCAGCTCCACAAATAAACTTTTAAGATCAAGTGAGAGAGAACCAGTGAATATATAGTCAAGAGAACTGGACATGAAGAACTGTGGCAAGCATTAAAGGATGTTTTGATTGAGAGTCCATCATATTCCCCTCTTTTTCCCCCCTCATCTCATTCATTCTGCAGAACACTAGTCCAAAGCAGGCATCAAGTTGGGATCAACCAATCAATTTCTGATAAAACATAACAGCTTTCTACAATTGGGAAGGTCACCAAGTACCTCCAACACTTTAACATGTTTTGAAAAGCAATCCTTGTGTTTTCTGTTCTGTTTGTGCAAATCCACCAGTGCAATACAGCAAAAGCACTCACAGTCCCACAGTGCCTCATTCTTGTTCACACAGGTTGATGCATGTGCACAATTGGCTTTGCTCTATGTGGCTGACATTACTCCAAGAACTTCTTAGGAAGGACTTGCATATGGTGGGAAAAAAAGAAAACAGCCCAGATGATGATTCACTGGGTGTGGATTGTTTTCATTAGGAAAGAACAAAACCCTGAAGCCAAAGAATCCTGTTTTAAAAGGAGGTTTCCACACTGAATGCAGACTCCAGCCTGGATCTGGCAGGCATCCTGCTGGCAGGGGCAGGGATCCTGCACCTAGCAACGACACCAGAGAGCTCCAGCACCAGTGCCTGGGCACTTCACTTCCCCAGGAAAAAGCAGAGAGGATTTGAGGGGGGAGAGCTTCTTCCAGCGATGCCTTGCCAAGTGCATGAGAGAGGACAGCCCAAAACCAAGCACAAACCCTGTTCTAGTTATTTACACCAAATACCAGAAAAGTGCCACAGCTGTTAAAGCCTGGAAACAGTAAACCTGGTAAACTTAGGCATACCTTGGAGGCAGATGTCACCAGAGCATGTGTGCTGGTCTGCTGGATTTCACTGAGTGGTTTTATACTCTGACACAAGCAGTGTTTGACTCTGGAAGAGTAATCATTAAAAATTTGAGGATTTGTCTTCCAGTTCAGTCCTGTAAGAATCAAGACACCCATTGATCATGGGTCCAAAATTTCCCCCAGTCACTTGTAAAGGCCTCAAAGCTACAAATCAGACAAGTTGTTTTGGCTGGAAATCACAACAAAGGCAGCAGCCTCCTTTCCTGTCCTGCTTTCCCAGCACTGCAGCCTTTGCCAGATTCCTGCCCTTGCTTCTACCAGATGAAGAGTTTTGCTTGCATGAGTGCTTGCTGAAATCTTAATCACATTTTCCTTAAGAAACAGGGGAACAAAACAGGCTATGGCCCAGCAAGCCTGGTGAACTGTTCCCAGCTAGCCCAGGCTGTTTGCCCTTCCATCCTGATGTTTTCAGCTTCCTTCCCTTCTCCTGGCTGCTACAGTGCCAGCTTCTGCTTTCGTGCAGGACTCGGTTCCCCATTGTTACACCAACTCCCTGAGAGAGGCAAACCTTTTCCATATATGCTGATAGTTGGAGATTTGGTTCCTGTATTCCCACTTAAAAATACACTGCCTAAAGTTCAGCTGTTTCCATTAGAGTTATTACTCGTCACTTCCTGCCCCTTCTGGTCTTGGATTTAACCATCAAACTTCAGCCAACATTCCACTGCCAAGTCTTGACTTTAAAGGAAGAAGCTCACCTACACTTGGGGATTAATAGGTGCCTACGTAATACTGACTTGGAAAATGAATCAGACTGTTAAAACTCACTTGTCCTTGCTAGAAACATAAAACTAAAACAACCCTTTTCCCCTCAAAATTATTTTCCTGCAGATGATGGGAGAAATTATTTTGAACCTAGCCTACGTCATAAAATCCAATCACTTACTATATTATGTTGAAGAAGTAATACTTAGGAAGATATTATTTATGGAGTTAATGTTGGATTAAGTTTTCAGAGGCAGTCTGCCTCAACCTGATGAGTCAGTCATATGGCATCTGAAATGGCAACATGCCTAGAAAGGCCATTTGACATTTAAAGCGACATTAACCCACAGGTTATCATGGGCTGGAAATTTCTCCTGCAAAATGAAAGGACTGGAAATGGAACTAATGCATCAAAGTTCAGACAATCAGCCCTTTTGTAACAAATACAGATAAACATCTCAAATGAAAACAAATGAACTGGGAGTGGAGGGAGAAGGTAGAGAGCATTTTCCACTTTCCTCATCATACAGCTGGGAAAGAATGCAAAAGTAAAAATAAAGGCCTTTCTGCTTTTCACTTTTTCTTGGCACTGTTACAGCCAGAGACTTAGAGACCTACTTCAAACTCTTTTCCCACGTTTTTCCTCCTCTAGGAACTGGTGTTCCTTCACGCAGTCCCGCCTGGTCACATACATAGAAGCCTGCATGAAGGAGAAGTACATTGTCAACTCCCAACAGCCCTGCCCCAACGGAGCCCCAGACTGCCAGAAGATCATGTGAGTGTCCTAAATAAAACCAGTGAGGAAAACAGTATTTTCTCTGAAGTATCTAAAAAAGTATCTATAAAAGATGTTTTCAACAGTACTGAAGCCTCATCATTTCTAGGGGAGTTTAAAACAAATTTCTATCTTCCTTGGTAACTGTTTTGGAATAATGTGTTCAATAATTAAATGGTCTCCACACCTCATCAGAATACTACAGCATTCAGGATCAGTCCAAACTTGATTGCAAAGGACTCTATTACAATAAATCTAATGCCCAGACCCTTCCTCTCCAGGTACAGGACAGCCCTGAAGCCAGTTTACCAAGTGAAACAGAAGACTTTGAAGTCTTTGCAGTGGAAATGCTGCCCTGGATTTATTGGCAAGGACTGTGAACAGCGTGGTAAGCAAAGCTGGAGAGCAAGTATAGGAATGGATGACTAAATGCCAGGCACAATGGCAAGAAATGAATCTGCCTAAATTTTCTCCTTTTTTTAGAATTGATGCCTTGTGTTTTCAGTCTGCTATGTCCCAAATCACTGATACTTTGAGACAAGAGCAGTCATAATAAGCTGCAATTAATAGTTAAATAGCATTAGCTACTTATTCTTCTGTTAATAGCACCTTTGTATGGAGAAAGGTATTAATTTGCTGGAAAGCCTGTCAGATGTCCATCTTAGACAAGACCATCTAGGAATGCCTAATTCCAGGTAGAAACTGGTGACATCAGAAAGCAACACTAGTGTGTGAAATGTCCCTATGGTCAGTTCACAGGATGAAATCATCTGAGTTGGAAATCACAAGATGTCCAGGTTCAGAGGAGAGGGCAGCCTTCACTCTGCAGTCTGCATTGCTCCTCCTCTCTGATTAGCCTGGCTGCAAAGGCACTGCCTCCTCTACAGGGAGCAGCTCCACGGCACAGACAGGAGCAGTGCCCAGACTGTGACCTGCAGGAAAGCTCCAGGAACAGCCTTTGGAGTGAACTACTGTAACCCATTGCACTGCTGAATAAAGCAGTGGGGGCAGCAGGTTGAGGGAGGGGATTTTGGCCCTCTACTCTGTCCTCCTGAGACTGCACCAGGAGTCCTGCATCCAGCTCTGGAGTCCCCACCTTAAGGACATGGACCTGTTGGAGTGAGTGCAGGAGCACCTCTGCTATGGACACAGGCTGAGAGAGCTGGGGCTGCTCAGCCTGGGGAAGAAAAGGCTCCAACGAGACCTCAGAGCACCCTCCAGTACCTAATGGGGCTACAAGAGAGATGGAGAGGAACTTTTCACAAGGGCATGTAGTGCTAAGACCAGGGGAAATTGCTTCAAACTGCAATAGGGCAGGTATAGTTTAGGTATTAGGAATAAATACTTTGCTGTGAGGGTGGTGAGGCACTGGAACAGGTCTCCCAGAGAAGCTGTGGGTGCCCCATCTTTGGAAGTGCTCAAAGCCAGGTTGGATGGGTCTCTGAGCAGCCTGGTCTAGTGGGAGGTTCCCTGCCATGGAGAGGAGGTGGGAACTAGATGGTTTTTAAGGCCCCTTCCAACACAAACCATGCTATGATCTGTGCAGCTGCTAATAGAGAGAGGGGAGACAGTGTGGTTTAAAAACTGAATGGTGGTTAAAAATGGCATTGGCAAGATTTAGCAAATAATACTCAAAAAGCAGAATTTGAACAGATTTAAGAATTTAAATAGAATTAAGGGAATTTAACTGGATAAAAGGTAATTCCCTCTAGCAATTAAGTCAACCATAAAAATAAAGGCAAACATATGTCTGAAAATTTTTCCACAATCTACATCTAACTCACCTACAGACTCCACTGATAAAAATCTCTGGAGGTTTAGCTTTACTTCACAGATAGCCTTCATTTGTGGTTTGATCTCTTGGTGAACTTCACACATAATGTTGGAAAGATATTACCAAATGCAGTGCAACTATTTTAGCCTCTCTGTTGTTACACTCATTGACCAAAACCAGCTGCTCCATCAATGTCTTCTCATTTGTACAGCATCATTCACTGCTGCTGCCACCAGGGTGTTCAGGTAACTGTGGAACAAGGAAGAGGAATTTGCAGATCTTTAGATGGGGCCCCCAGAAAAGAAAAAAGCCCCATTTATTTGCAATAGACTAATTTCTTATGAGCAAAGCTTGGCATGAGTTAAAAATCCCTACACTATACTGCATAGCATTGCCATGTATGCAATGTTATTTGCCAGTGCAAGGAAACAAAGTTTTCCAGAGAAGGTGTTCTTTCCTCATGAAACCTGTCTCCATACCTTTTACACAACACATGAAATTCCTGTGTGGCCTTGCTAAACTGCAGTAGTTTCTGCATCTAAAACATTTTCACAGCTGTATCATATCTCAATTGCAGATCCTAATTTTATTCTGGTGCCAGGAACTGAAACTGAAGGACAAGAAGAGGAGTTCTCAAACCACAGTATGTGCTTGAAGTTATTTTGTTTGTTATCCTTTTACCTCTCAGTCACTGGTCAGGAGAGAAAGAAAGATTTGAAGCTGTAATTTTAAAGTGATAAGCTATGGACAAACTTTCTAGTAAAAGCATTCTCTGGAAAAGCTTTGAAACAATACATTTACTGACATAAATGAGGACTTTTGCTATAACACCCTGCGAATGTTCACAACGAAGCATCCCAAAGTTTCAAAGCTGTCTGGTGAACAGTGGATGCCAGCTGGTGCAGAGCCTTACCCCTTTCAGTGACATGGATGTTATCCCCTTGCTCTGCAGTGGGTTCACAGGACAGCCCACCATGCTCACAAAAATCTACCAGAAAAACAATCCACTGAAAATGCTATTTTAGAACAGCCCCTCAGTGGCTCAGAGATGACAATTACAAGGTACTGTAGATTTTTATCTCAGGCACTCCACCCACCCTACCAGTGGAAGCAGCACGAAGGACCCTCCCTTACCAGCTGGGAAGTGGTGTGGCCTGCAGTGTTATTAAGTGCCTTTCAGAAATTAGCTTCAGGGAAGTATTGCACACTTTGAAATCTACACCTGAGATTCACAAGTATTTATTTAGAAAAACATCAGTTAAAGGGCCCCTCCATGAGTCAGCTCTGACACACACTGTGCTCCTGATTCCTCAGTGGAATGTCTCAATTGCTCTTTCATCCCCTCCTTTTATTCTAGGCTGTTAAACCTTGCCATCCTTTCAGTCAATGGGCTTGAAAAGAGTTAGTACTCCAAAACATTTTTATGGCACGGGGAGATTTCTAATTAAGAGCGTTTTATTGCCATCATGGCTGTTGTAGCTGAAGTTCTCTGCAAATATTTGAATATATTAGGTTTCCATCACTGCTGGAAAAAATCCTTGCAGATCAACTGCAATTTAAGGTGCCAGAAATCTAACAGACTCCCTAAATGTCAGCGCAAAATTTTCAGAATGAAAACCAGACAGGTGTTCTCAGAGGTCTTGCATGAATACCTGTCACCTGGTCGCTGCACCCTGTTGCATGACTTTGTTTTTCTAATCTTGTGACTAGTGTCAACATCAGTGGATTCAAGAGAAATGTTCGAAGTCATTCAAAATCATGAGGCTTTACTGGATGATCTTCAAAGTGATATTCATCAAGCAGCCAGCACCTTAGGTGACTTACAGAGACTATTTGAGAACAACGGTACAAGCATGGTGTTAGAAGTGAACGAGAGCAATTCAGGTGAGAGGTCTGATGCAGAACTATCAGCCCATGACAGGCCCTGTGAAACCACACAAATCAGAAAGAAAATGCGAAAGCAAAAGTACCCTGATATTCCTTGGTCTGCTGGTTGCTTCTACAGAGAGAAAAAATGGGTGCAATCCCAATGCAAATGAATGAACCAAAGAGTAACTCGAAATGGGAAATTAAGGAAAGGCACTGTTCAGAATATGCCTTAATCACAGAATAAAGAGACTGCTTATATTTAAAATTTGTTAACCTTACTGTTTTACTTCTATGGCTTCTTCTCTTCTCTGGGGATGCAGAGTTTGGATCTGCTCTTTTTCCATACTCATGCTGTATACTCTGATGTGTGGATTAGCACACTGGTGTTTCATGAAAAAATGAAACATTCCATCTCTGGAACATTGTTTCTGCCATATAAAGGAGTAGGAGAAAAAGAGCTGCTGAATTTAACCCACCATAGGGAGCCACTGGCTTGCAGAAACATTTTCTAATGATACAGACTATACAGTACTCAGTGAACTTCAAGGCACTCAAGTTTGAACAATAAAGTGAGAAACTGAGCCTTAGTATAATTTTCATACAGTCCAGATACCTCACAGATTTTTCAAGTTATTTACTCCTCACCTGGAATATTCAGCTGTTAAGATGCTGTATAACCTTGTGGGGTTGAAAGCATGAGAAAAAGAACATTATGACACAGTCAAAAAAGGAAGCGCCCACTAAGAACTGTTGAGAAAATGGACAGTTATGGCCACTGGAAAAACCACCTGTCCACAGGTTTCAAAAAACATCACTTTTAAGATATAAATGGGGAACTCAATACAAATCTAAGTTATTTTCTGCACACTCTTAGACACCATGTGTTTCATAATAATCTTGATTTAACAATAGGCTATTTTTGCAATTGTTGAAATTTATCATTAGGTCAGATTCTGGGGAGTAAGACAGCAACTACTACAGAAAAATGAACACTTGAGTTAACCTGTCTAGACTGTGTTCTAAAAGCAGAATTTAAATTTAATTTTTTTTTTCTACTGTATTAACAGATCACCAGGAAAGGCTTCTGCAGCAAGTTTTGTTTCCTCATGTGGAGAATTTTCTAAGGAAACATTTTAACCCAATGTGGGCAAGCTTCAACAAAAGTTTACAGAACCTCTCCAACATAGTAAGAAATCTGTCCTATGATGTGGAAGCCAACAAGAAAAGCATAGAAAGATTCCAAGAAAGCACTGTGCCCAAGAAGGAATTCCAGGAGCTGGGAACTAAATTTGAATCAAAAGTCCAAGAAAACATAGTGAAAGTTGATGAGGCGAAAAGAGATGTAGAGAACAAAGTGCACATGCAGCAGGCTGATATTCACCATAATCTCAGCATGCTCAAGGCAGATACTGACACAAGACTCAAGAAGCTTCATAAGATACAGCAGTCCCATTTCTTAGCAATGAACAACAGCATAGCAAACATGAAACAAGAGCAAAACCTTCTGGAAAATAAACTGGAAGCTTTGAAAAAAAATTTAACAGAACTCTCTTTACATCACGGTCCCAAAGATGAAAACAGCCAGTTAACCATCAGACATATGAATGAAATGCTGTCAGGACATGCCAAGCAGCTTAAAGAACTTTACATGGAGTCAGATGTGGCCTTTCAGAATATTGCAGTTTTAGAGAGGTGGTTTAAGGAGTTAAAGAAGAACATCTCAAAGTATAGGCCAGAAGATCTTACAATAACTTTGGCTGAGAAATCAGTTATTATGGAAGAAAACAATGCAGCAATGGAAAGGCAGATAGCAGAGCTCAACTACACTCTGTCAAACCTTCAGGAAACCTATTCAGATCTGCTGCGGTACATGGAGGAATGCAATTGCCAGAGAGTATCTGCTGACACTGATGTGCTGGAGGAAGATCCAAGGAATAGCACTTATTCCCTTGAAGATACCCAGCCAAAGGATATGAAGCACTTGGAGTCAGTTTTCAGAGATTTCTTCAAGAGTGAAATTGAAGAGCTCTCCTCAGCTATTCCGTCCATCCATCTGTCTCTCAACCTCCGTCAAGAAGAGAACAGACAGCTTCAGTCACAGGTTATGGCTTTTTCAGAAGACATGGGCTTGCTGAAGAAGACAGATGAAGAAATTCATCGACAAATCAAGTATCTCAACAGCTCTTTTAGCTCTCTTTTGAAAGACGCAATGCGGCATGAAGAAGCACTGGAAGCTCTATTGAGACACGAATTTCTGGACGTCTTTTTTGAAGATGATTTCAGCAGCCTAATACCATCAGTATTTCAGCTGCAAGAATCTCTCAGACGCTTTTCAGATAAACTACAAGAACAAAATGTGACTTTAGAATCTGTTAAGAAGAGATTTCATCCCTTGGAGAGAGGTCACCAGAATCATCATGATGCTCACATGCCTCCTAAGCACCCCGAGGAGGAAACACAAACCTCCTCTACTCTACACGAAGTCAGCAGCCAACGCAGTGTCAGAGAACACATGGAACCGAACTATGAGGCTGCCAAAGATGACTCCTTGGAGAGCTCAGCTTACAATGATATCATGACTCTGAAGAATGATATCAAACATCTGAGCCTGGCAGTCAAGAGGCACGAATCCAGAGGTGACATAAGTCTCTGCTGCAATCATACGATAGCAAATGCAATTGAGCCACTCAACGCTTCTGTAGAAAGTCTCTCTGCAGATTTAGCAACCATCAAGCAGAATCTGGAGGAACATCTGGTGACTTTCAAAAAATTATTTGGAACTAATGAAGAATTAGGTGCCTCAAATATAAGTCTGGATGTTACAAAGATTCAGTCAATGCTGCAGAAAAAAGGGAGAAGACAACAGAAAGGTCAAGACAAGCAAAGAGACAAGAAAAGATCTGAGAAGCACAGAGAAAATACACAAGCAATAAGTGGAAGAAATACAGTGCAGACAGGATTTGTGGAAAAAGGTGTGTTCTTTTCTTTGACTTGCTCATGTACAGGTCTAACTTCTTTCTAGGCTCTGATGCAAGTTCCACACACAGAGCATATTAGTATTAGTTATAAGAGCTATCAGGTACCCTGTGGGATGCTGGAGGGAGAAATTCTGACATTACTTACACCCACTCCCTCCACCAGTTTAAATACAGACAAAAAACAGTTTGAGTGAGAACCAAGCTGTTATTCTGCTGTATTTTGGTTAAGGCCAATAAAATTACACCTGCCATAGCTGCTAGGAAATTGGTCTTGAACTAATTCACCTTCAGGTGTTTAGAAGACAAATTTTATTTGTAAATGCTCATGTTAATGCAGTAGCAGTCTTCTCTTTGGAAGGTAATGTGGAATGCTTCTTTTTCCGTGTTATTTTGTTACTTGGCTCTGGAAGGAGTGTACTCGAAGCACCAAATCCTTCTCAAGACAGACAGATGCATTAAATGAACTGCTATAATTTGCACAAGTGGAACAGGCAAGACTGACCAGAGAGCACATACTCCCTCTCTTACAACCAAGCTTCAGAGACAAGTTTTCAGCTTATATTTCACTAGGGCTGGGCAGTTCCCTTTCCCTGTAAGCATGTGACCATAAGCACCTGGTAATTACAACTACCACAGATTTAACATTGGCCTTTATGATTGCAGCCCTCGCTATGGACAAATAACAGAGCAAAAATCAGCCCCTTTAGGCAGCTGTGCTGCAAAACTGTAGTTAAGACTGAATAAGCAGAGAACATATTCTTAACCGATTTATTTTGGGGACAGTTAAAAAGTGATATTTTTTCTCCCTGTGTGGTCCCAGTGTTATACTTTTCCAAGAGTTCCAGGGAATCATTTGATCTACTCCAGTGCACATAACCATTTCCAGTGCCTAGCTTTGCAAAGCATACAAAAATCAGGCCTGATAGGGATTCACCTTATCTCCCATCCTGATGATCCTGGGGAGAGAAGAACGCTCACTCACTGCTAAATCCTGTTCCTCTTTCTTTTTCAGACTCATTGGTGGCATTCCATGTGGGATTCTCAGAAAGAAAGGATAAAGAAAAAACTGTGAGGTTTAATGAAACTTATCTAAATTATGGAAACAGCTACTTCTCTGAACATGGCCACTTTAAAGCACCACACAAAGGTGTCTACCTGTTGTTCATCTCTGTGGAGTTCAGCTCAGGACCAGCACTGGGACAACTCTCCTTCAGCCGTGGGTACAAAAGAACTCTCTCAAGCAGTCAGCGGAAAACCCCACATGGAAACACCGTGACTACTTTTGCTATAGCAGAAATGGAGAAGGGGGAGACGGTGTGCTTTGAATTGCTGCACGGCTCCGTAGTGAAGCGAAGCCCACCTGGGACAACTATGGGTGGACTCCTAATATCTAAAACTTGAATAGTGACATTTATGTTCTATTAATCTCCTTCCATAGATGCAATGGATGCATTCACTATTGCTTCATCTGTGATGTATTCAATGCTACTGCATGTGTTCAAACATAGCACTACCCTAGGTTTGCCTTCATGCTTCTTTTCTGGAAGTGTTTGGCTTTTGATTAGTTGCTTATGAGCAGCAATGGGATTTTCTTTCAAGTAAAAAGCTAATGGTTTGGGCTCCAGATGTATCAGCACACACACTCCCAAATCCTTCCTATGTGAGGACTGCACATAAATGTTTTGTGGGACTTTCTTCACTTTTAACACAAATTTCTCCCTTCCCTTGGCAAAAGAATATCCTCCCATGACAAATAACCAAAATCAGTGACAAGGAAAAGATTTTAGGTAGGACTGCACATTCTCGTGTTATGTGAATGGTACCTTACAACCCACAAGCCAGGGCAATTTTACCTTTTAGTTCTCTGTGGACCAGAGACTATCTTGGAAACTTCACTCCAGTGTTTCAGTCTGTGCACAACAGGAACACTAGAAGAGATCCATCAAACCCAGTAAAATTCACTCTACTGCCAGTATTTGCAAGCAAGATCTCCTAAATGGTCCAGTCTTTGTTTCTTGGCCTGTGATATATGTCAGCAACACTGCAAAAATTTAAAGCATTGTTAAGATGAGTTACATTTACATTTAGAGACTAGGAAAATAACAATATTTTAGAAGCATTGTTGCTTCTAAATAAAATGCAGTTTATTTCTAAAGTTAATCCTGGAGATTTATTTAATGAATTCAGCCCAGAGTTCAGTATTTAGTAAATATTTTAAAACCAAACAAGCAAAACCAAATTTAAAAGGCAAGCTTGTTGGTCTGTTGTCACTGCTGAATATAAATTTGCAATTAGAGTAAATCAAAGAGAAGGACTTCTGAAATGTAGAGGGCTTTTTATTTCCAAAACTTCAAAAATCACCATGCCTGGTCATGTCTTAAACTTTTTTCTGTCAAATAAAACTTCCCAAAGACTTTCACTCTAAAGACGTTCAAGTATTGTGGTATTTTTATCTATCCTAATATCTTACACAGCAATATTAAAACAATTAATTTTGCCAAAATGAAATGCACTTCGAAATTTTCAGTATTTTTGATGAACATACAAATTCTTATCATGTAAATTGCACCCTTTTAAGGTAGCATTTTTTAACAAATCTATTTTGCTGTTAAGAATTTTTTCCCCACCTACCTGTATCCTAAGCAATACTAATCTCTCATTAACTGTTAAAAACCCCCAACACATCGGTACCAACACACAATGCACTTAAAGCAACAGTTTGACAAGCAGACAATACCTATCTTCTGAAATAAAGCTACAAAGCAATTTCAGCTGACTTGCTCAGAAGATTGTTTTCTCTATCCTGAAAAATCCAAGAAAACTAACAAGAAATGCTCCTTATCTCCTTCTGGCCAATGCTGATTTCCACAGGAGATGCCCAGGCCAGGTGTTCCTGTCTTCCTAGCAGGGGGCCATGGCTCACACTGCTCTGCTGCAGTGAGCACAAAGTGCCTGCAAACTCAGTGTCATTTTCTGTCCCACTTTTGCTCAAAATATCTGCAGGAAGAAAGAAGAATAAAACTGAAGGGGTGAAATGAAGAAAACCATCAAATTGTAAGGTTAGGTTCTTTCAGTACAAAGCTCCCATCCTGGGGTGACCTGGCTGGGTTTTTACCAGTGTTCCTCCAATTCCTGATTTTGTGGTGGCAGCATTCTGCAGAGCCAGGCCAACAGTGCTGCCTAGGTCAGGGTGGTTCAAGGAACGCCCCCTTTTCAGTGCACACCAATTCTGCACCTACAGCCAAGTTCCACAAACAAGCACCACTGGGGAATACGTGTATGTTACATAAGGGGGAGAGGATATACATATATATTTCAGAACACTTTGTTTTTAAAGCTTTGACAGAAAGCTTCAACTGGAATGAAAACCACTTGGAAATGGACACAGGAGGTAGCAGAGAGCATTGCAGTTCATCCAGTCTGGTTTTGTGTCCTTCCTTGTGCTTACCAGAGTACTTTCATTGAAGAATATGCCAGATGTGTTCAGAGAACACTGACTCCAGAGTGAACAAAAAGTTGAAGATGTTTCTGTATTCTAAAGATGTCTTCAAATATGTGCTTAAGTTAGCTACCTGCACATACAAAGAGGACACACTGCATGGGAAGACTAATTTTTATGGGGCAAAAAATTAATGAAAGACCATGGGATAAATCACTCTGTGGGCTGCATAAGCCAGGAAGACCAACTTCCTTCTCATGCAACAAGAGAACAATGATTCATCTACTGGCCTGTGGTTTTGTTTGTTCAAAGCAATAAACCAGCTTTTAAATAAGCCTCCATCTAAACCACTCCTGCATTTTTTTGGTGGGATGGTTGTTTGGGCATTTTTGTTAGATCAACATAGCCACACCACTATGACCTGTATTTTTAGGCAAACTAGAAAAATCAATTTAATGAAGATAATTTAAAATACAGCTATTGGTTGGCTCAGTGGATTTAGGAGAATTTCCAAACATGAAAAACAACCTGAAGCTGACCATAGGCCCTGGGAAGAGTTGTCTGTAAGAGCTTCAGTTTCCCTCACAGAACACTGACTAGATGGATGTGCCTGATGGCCAGGCAGCAATAGGCACAGAAACATATGCTCACTCCAGGATACAGATATATGTAATGTCAATCTGACACTCATATTCAAAAATAAAAGCTTCCAACAGATTTTAGTACTTCCTAGAAACCTGACAGAAAACACTGCTGCTGCTTCAAGTTTCTGTATTTCCAGATCAAACCACTGAGCTCTGTAATTAGGTAGAAAGCTGTGTATCTTAGGGCCTTTGCGGAATTATTTTGTTACTGATCTGCTGCTTTATGAATGTCAGTATCTTAGAGTGCATTTTAAAATTAAAGTCTCCTAATGTTTTTTTCCTTTTCCATTATTAAGACAATCTCCTTACTGTACTCCAAATTCAAGTACTGATTGTATCAAAAATGAGCAATTTTGCTTTCTGTAGATCCAGCAATGCCTGAATTCTTCAGGTAATACCCACATCAAGCCAGTCTGAAGCCCATGGAGGTCTCCTCATGAAGCAGACTCAGGAGGTGCTCAGCCCACAGCAGTGGTCCTTTCCCTGCTCAGATTCACAGCTGATACTCATCTACTGCATTCACATCAGTGACAAACACCAAAGTGGTGTTCTGGGGAAAGGTGAAGATAAAATGCAGAAGGAATTAAGGAAATTAATAGAATTATATCTGATCCTTTCTGAATTTAGTGATACTTCTGCTATTTCTATAAAAGCTTGTGGTTCAGTTTGCTAATTACTCAGAGCGCTTTTTTTGTGCATCCATGTGCAGTGTTTACACATTTCACTGAAATGTTTCACATTTCACACATTACTGCTGTTTCACCTCTTAGATATTGATGCCAACTCACCAGTAACATTTTGCATAGTGGTCAAACCCACCCATTTATAATGGAGACCATTTTGGTATTTATTGCTAGCAGGCAGTAGAACTTATTTTCATGTCTCAAAACTCCCCAATTTTTTTCCAAATCCTTTCTTTAGGACACAGCCCCACCGTGTGGCCGTTCCACGAAGCAACACCGAGAGGAAAGCTGCTCATTAGAGCACGGACAGGTGCAAACACTTCCCACAATTTTCCTTATGTCCTCCTGCAACGCTAACATGAAATTCCAGTTTTAAATCCAACCACGACCACTGCAACCAGTGAAGACATTCCATTCCAAAATAGCCACAACCATAGGAAAAAGGTTTGCTTTGCCAAGATACTCATTTAAGGAGACCAAATCTTTGTGCAGTCTAATTTCCTGGTATTATGTGTTAAGGACAGGAAAGTTGAAACTACATTGCTGATCTTTCCACAGCACTTTCCAGAACTACACTGCAAGAATTTAACACTTGATTATATAGGGAAAACAAACCAAGGCTTATAATTATAATATATTGGTAACAGTTTTTATGATGTTTAGATATAAAAATCTTTCTAGCTGCTGTAAAAAATACGTATTTAAATCTAATATTTTTCCTGATTAAATGCAAAAAGAGAACAGAAACTGATCTTACTTAATTCTCTTTGTAAATTAAAGGTGGACTCTATGGGGAGTAGAAGCCAATACAGTTCTGCAATGAGAAAACAAATTCTGACACCCTCTTCATGGTTCTCACAGGTGAGATATCCCCTTGACTGGTCTTCATTTGCTTGAATCATAAAAACCAGAATAAATTTTGCAGGATATACAGAAGCGCCTGCATATTTTTGCAACAAGCAGTACATACACATATTAAACTCAAATATTTTGATTTGGATACTATTACACAAAAAAAAGGTTTTATACAGAGGGAACAAAAAGCAATTACAAAATTCCCCATCCTTTTATTTTTTCTGGTTTTACCTGGTAAGCTTGAGGCAAATTTATATGGATAAAACCAATATGTAGGGAACCTGCATATGCTCAAATAAAAGTATTATTTGATTTTGATTTGCTTTTGGCTTTCCTGTAACACAGGGATAGAAGTCGGGAAAAGGAAACACTGTTTTTTACTGTTGCACTCAAATTTAAATATTGGGCAAGGAATAAAGAGCTTGAACCTAGAGAGCACCAAATAACTTTCAATGTCATTGAACAATAAAAGTAATAATTAACAACTTATTCAGAGACTGTGGGGGGAAAAACCATAAACGAGGTATGAAAAAGTAGGGAATTATTTAGTTACAGTATTAGGATCTCCAAGTCGTTACATTTTTAAGGCAAAATCTTATAGTAACAAAACACATTACTAATGTGTACTAAAATAAGGTTATTTACTTAAAAATGATACATTGGACATAATCTGTGTACAGAACAAGCAATTCATGGTAAACTCAATAAGGCACCTTCTAAAGCAGATGCTGTACAAAATACATTAGTGTGTTACATTTTTAAAGTAGTATTCTACACTTCTGGCATATAACACACACAAGAGTGTGACCATTTGTCTTGTTCCACTCTTCTTTCATATTTTATTTACATCTTCTCCAGGTTAACTACAATGTTATTTATTTTTCTTGTATACAATATAGTACATTTCATTTTGGGCATGTCATGTTGGAGCACAAAAGTCACTACATGATGTGGGCTTCTATAATTGCATTAAACAGTAAAATATCACAAAGCAACAATTACATTAGATTTGTCAAAATACCAGAAGTAATGTGCCCTCTACTTCTGCTGTACAACCAAGGCTGAGCACCATGGTTCCATGAGGACTGGGCTGTGCAACACTGCCAGCTGCTTTCAGACATCACCCCTACTTGGGATAGAGACTGTGGGCACAGGATAAAGATTTAACTCAGAGGCACTGTCAGGAGAGGGAGCAAAGGCTAAATCATTCGAACATCTCACAGAAGATGAGCATGTAACTTCCCTTTAAAAATATCTGCAATAGCAAAAGAATGTTTATTAACTTTATATCTCTGCTCTTCAAACACTTTTAGACCATTAAAATACAGTCTGTTAAGACAGAGTAGTTGAAATGTATCCAAATTATTTGTTTTTTAAACACATTCAAATGGTCATTTAGATCAAGGTCTAAAATTTGATTCTAGACTATTATGGAGGTAAGTTAAAATATTAATTTTACATTTCATTCAAGACCTCAAAAAAGGCTAATAAAGAAAATAATTCATAAGAAATTATGGATATTGGGAAAACTGTTTCTTGAGGAAAAATTATATTAAGTAAAATTCAGAATAAACTCAGAATGTAAGCCAAATTTTCTCTATAGGAATACCACATTTCTGGTGGAATTTACAAGTTAACAGGAACACAAAAACGTTCCTTTTAGGTGCTGTAACAAATGAAGTGACTCCAATTATTTCCATATAAAATCACATGGAACAGGTTCAACAAACATAAAAATCCCTCCATTTGAGTGTTTAAGAACTTCCAAGGCACAGTCTTGGTATTCTCAAGGTATTTTCCACACAGTTGATTTTTGTATTAAAAAAACAAACAAACAAACAAAAAAACCTAACCACATTTGCCAGTTTTGGAGGATATTTTTTCAAATGACAAATGCTTAAAATTTTGACCTCCAAAAATGAGATTAATCATAGTCCAACAGAAGAATCTCATTACCCTCTCTGAATTTAAAAGGCTTCCTCTGAACACTACAGGATTGCATAAAGCAACTGCTTACCTTTGGAGTCTGCATTAATTATACTTAGTTAAGTAAAAATTAATGGGCTGGCTTAGAGCACATTTTTTCCCCCAAATGATTGAGTATCAGTATAGACATTCTTTAGTGTTAATGTTTTGTTGAGTATCAGAATCAAGGCAGTTGCTGTTCAGCACAGCAAGAACTACACATGCATGATACATTTGAGTATGAACAGAGTAACTGAAGTGCTGATAAATTAGGTTTAAGGCAAAAAAGATTTTTTCCCTCTCAAAAAAATCATCTTTGCAGCAGTAGGCTCCCTCTATGTTAAAAGTAAACTTGAAAATCAATTTAGGTCCTAAGGTGTCTAACCATCCTATTGCTGCCTTGCAATACTTAACAATGGAAAAGAAAATAAGTGAAAATTTACAAATTATTGAAATTCATACTTCCAAAAGGGGCTTCCTGAAGAGCTAGAAAAAATGAACTAAAAAAAATTCACAAAACATGTTTAGAGCAAATGATGATGTGGCAAATTCTAAAAGAAATGACACAATATTCTACACAGGATGGGGTTAATTTAGACAGATCTTCATGCTCTGAAAGTTTAAGCTAGCAGGGTACCTACATAAACATTTTTTTCCTTCTTATTGATAAAAATTCTAGAGAAGGAAAAACAAAAGCTTATCCCTTACTTTTTTTGGCTTATACCAAAAATTTTCCAACTACCTGTGCAAAAATTATGTGCGAAGACATGATTAACAATTTCAAAATCATCATAAATTTCTTGGCAATGGACGGAGAAACTTTTTTATTAAGAGCCCTTTATCATGAGGATTGTGGCACAATATCATAAATCTCTTGCTGTTTTCAAATAAGTTAAAGTTGACATACCTATGAACTTCTCAGCCAGAATACATATTAATACTTAAAGGCATTACTAAACAAAAGTAATGACTTTATTTAAAAAGAAAAGTCCCTTGAAATAGCTAGTTTTCTATAAAATATGTAGAACTGTTAAATAAAGTCTGTACATCACAATAGAAAATAAAAATACTGCAATCTTTTGCCTGACCATTTACATTATGGGAACTACAGGATTAAAACAAAAAGGTAACATGCTAAAAGGTTGTAATTGTACACAAATCACATTACTTTGTGTTACACTGCTTTGTATCAGTTGTATTTTCAAGGGAAATTTAAACACATCAAAACATTCTCTATGTAAATATTTTAAGACAAATAATCTGGCACAAATCAATCTGAAGTTTTAACAATTTCATCAATTCTGGTATTCTTAACCTTTTTCTTCAAATCTCAACTATGGCGTGTGTGTGTGCATATATCTAATTGTACAGATGTACCTAGGACTAGGTATTAATCATTTTTTTTTTTTTTACACAAGCACAAAACACACTGTATAAATAATTTCCCTTTTTAAAGTTATCTAGAACAAGATTTACAGTACAAAATTATAGGCACTTAAATTATCAAATAGACTCAATGGTTCCAATACTGTATGTTCAATCTTCAGACGATTCATGCTTTGAAGCTTCAACTTGAGTTATGGTACTATTTTCTAACTTCCAAGTAGAAGTGCCAAAGGAGTTATAAATCAATAATTCTACTTTACAGTAACCTCATGGAGGGTTCTGGCTTTTATACACCTTGTGTGGGTCAGTGGTGAAAATGGGGGAACTTCAGTTTCTCATGCAGGTTTAACAGTTGGCACAATAAAACCAAGTTTTACAATTGTGCTAACTTACTGTATCTTGATGATTTAATTTCAATGCTATTCCTCCCAAACTCAACTAGAACTTGCAACACCCACTGATTCACCTTGTCTCAAATCTTGATTTCCACTAAGTGGCCCACAGATGTGGCCTCCTGTGTCTACATCAGAGCAACCCAGCTCCAAATCTCCTGCACGCTGTGGATCTGATCTGCAACAGTTCACGTACTCACTTCTCCTGGTCTTGACCCTTTACTGCTTTCTCTGATCTTCAGAGCACCCAGAGCTTCTTGCCTTCCCTCTTTTGTGTCTGTAGACCAGACTTGCTCTCAAGCCTTTTAAAACTCACCTTCTGCCTAGTTTTGTCAAATGATGAAAGACCACATGGTGGAGCTGACAAATCCCTTCATGGGAAGACATTCAGAGCCTGACAGACACCTATCAGAGTCAGAGCAGGAAGGCAAGACACATCACCACATCACCAAGACACATCAGTCTTTCTGCTAAGATGTAAAGTATTCTATGGCAAAAATGTTGGTTGCATGTGGCACTGTGAAAAAAATATGACATATATCAGGGATCCAATTATGAAGCTCTCTCTAGACTGCAAGTGAGATGACCAAAGCAGCCTACATTTCTAGAAGAGATTGTTTCAAGCTCCTTACAGATTTAGGTAGCCATTTCTTAATTACTTAATGGTTCACATTTTTGCAGTTCTCCTTGAGACCAAATAAAAAACAGAAAATAAAAATTAAAACTGAGATTTCTGAAGAATAACTTAATGGCAAAAGATTCAGTAGCAAATCTCTGATTGTGGAGCCACAAAATGCATGGAGCCCTGACCATAAAACTTTGTTCATTTAAATGGTTTCTTATATATTCCAAATGACAGCAAAATAATCCTGGCACACACATAAAGGCATAAAGAACTGTTAAACTGAGTAGTATCACAAACAGATTAATAACCTACACGCTGTTTCACCAAAACTTGGTATGGATTGACTAGGTTTTATCAGGTAGAAGGCAAAAAAAAAAAGCTTATATTCTCCATCTCTGTTGAATCCATATAGCTTGTTAGGCTTTCACAGAAAGCACTGTAATCTGAACATTCAATTCAGTACCCAGAGTTTTACTGGAGACTCACTAAGTATGATTGAAGTCTCAATGCAGCTCAAACCAAAACAAAACGTGTATTTTCTCAAGGCTGTCCATATATGTAGCACGTAGTGTAATAGAGGCTCTCAGCATCATGGTCTATGAAGTACTGAAAGATTTCATTAGCAGCCTGTAGAAGTGTGCTGAGAAAATATACTGAATCTCAGTTATTTCCTCTTCTCTGTTTTTATCTTCCTCACCCATGTCTGAGTGAAAAGATCTAGGGAGTCCAGCTTTGCTCTCCAAAGTCAATTTCCTATGTCAAATCTTTACATCTTGTGATTCCACCATCTTGGCAAGTGTCTTCTTGATCCTCAAGGCAGTGAGCCTTGAGGCAGGATTATGAGCCCAGCACTCAGACATCAACTTCAATATTGCTCTTAAACACTGCAGTAAAAACAAAAAAAACAAAGGCGTGCTATTGAAACAACTGCTACATCCAAAGTTATAATTCTGGTTCGCTGTCAAGCTCAAATTGTAGAACTTTCAAGTTCAAAAACATGCAACTTCCAAATTTTCTGCAAAATTGTTGGTAGAAAACTATTATAAAGAGATCTACTGAAGGAAAAAACCCCAAAATACCCCAAACCCGACATCCACATGCCAATCTTTCTTATCCCACCCCGTCACTGCCTAGTATTATGGTAGCTGGGACTAATGGAAATGTTGATTTTCCCAATGATGCATTACCAGAACTTCAAGAATAGTCGTACAAATATGGCAGCAACAAACAGAAATATCTCCACATATATGGCTGCAAAACCACAGAGAATTCTTTCAGGGAAATGAAGGTGGGACAACAGCTCTTTCAGTAGTCAAAAAAATAGGACAAAACTGGGAATTCATAGAAGTGAAGGACTTAGGGAAAAATGGATATGACATATTTAATTTGCTATGTGAAATAGTTGTGTCTCATTCACTGTGTTCAAGCTGTGGCCCTTTAAAAACACATATAAACGACAGTATTTTAGTTTTATCCCTAACTGTCCTGGGATGTAACAGGAATAAAGAAAAAAAAAGGAAGAGGAATTCCACAAAGGAACTGCTTTACCTTTCATGAAATATCTTATGCCACAAATCAATAAGCTGTATCTATTAAGACTAATAAAATGAATTAAAAATTATTTAAGTTTTAGCTCAAATTAAACTCTGAATATATTCCACTAACTAAAACACATGATGTCAAGTAGAGCAGTATTCATATACTTGCACGCTGCTTAAGGCTATCTTCCCCTCAGATCACTGAAAAGATACATTAAAAAGTACAGTATTTTGAATTGATCTCAAGCATGTCTTTCTCCTATTATTGCTATGAGGTTTTCAAAGTATCAGAATATGGGAATGCAGTCCTACTTTACAACATTTTAGTATATATGAAACTAAAATGCCACCCCATATTAATGAACAATTTTTCTCTGAGCACACTCACTTCATCGCTGTTCCACCTGTTGGACACCACCGGGCGCAGGCGTTTGACACACACCACTTCTCTCATGTCCTCATAGGATGGATCATTTGGCACCATGTCATAATATGGCAACTGGTACTCTTCAACAATACCTGGAGATCATTGTGAAAGATGAAGAACAATTAAAATAAATAAAAGTACATATCTACTCTTGGATTTCTTCAGCTAGGAACAAAAACTAACTTTCTGCCATGCTGTTTCACTGGGGTAAAAATCTGAAAATTTCACTACAACAATTTAGCATAAAAGCTCCAATATTATGATTATTAACTTTAGTAGCTGTGATAATTCCTGGTAATGCCTTTGATTTTGATACCAAATGTTAGCTTTAGCTTTCTCTAATTTACTTCATGCTACAAAGAAGCACATAGATATATTTAAGATGGAAGAATACAGGTGAAGATGCATAAGGATACAAAAGAAGAGTAAAAGAAAAGCCAGGATGAGTCACAAAAATATTTGTCAGACTATTACTACTGCTTTTAAAGAATACAAGCCCAATGACA